AAAAAGCAGTGTAACACATGCCACCCACTAAAAGACACCACAATATTTTAAACTCTCCAAGTTAAATCCCCCAAGCATAGCTGAAAAGGGGCGTTTTCTGCCCAGCACCTAAAAGTAGCTAGTGATGGTACCAGACATGCCTCCCTGGAGAGCATTCTGTAAGCGGGGAGCCAGCACAGAAAAGGTCCTGTCTGGCGTTGCCACCTTCTGGGTCGCCCTCAGAGCGGACAGAGAGAGGAGGACCTCAGATGATGAATGCAGGGTCTGGGTTGGCTCATGTGGCAATAGGGATAGTCCTTGAGGTATTAGGGTCCTGTGCAACATAAGGCTTTATAGATCAAAACCAGCACTGAATTAGGCTCAGAAATTAACTGGTAACCAGTGCAGTTGGACCAGGACTGGTGTAAAATGCTCTCACACCAGTTGGCAATCTGTCTGATCATACGTCCAAATGAGCTGGTTTGAGAGAAAATGCATCTAACAGTCATATTACCCAAGGAACGACAGAATGGATGTGAGTTGTGTCTTCTCGGTAGTGGCGCCCGCCCTGTGGAACACCCTCCCATCAGATGTCAAGGAAATAAACAACTACCTGACTTTTAGAAGACATCTGAAGGCTGTCTTCAGGGAAGTTTTTAATGTTTTATGCTTTATCGCTTTATTATTATTATTCTGTTGGGAGCCGCCTGGAGTGGCTGGGGAAACCCAGCCAGATGGGCAGGGTATAAATAAATAATAATGATAATTATTACTAATGTCACATGTCCATGGCTTCAAACACCAGCAATGGAAGCACACTGGAGCGAGAGGAAATGGTAATCTGTACACAGGTTAAGCCCCTCAACACCAGCTGCACTTAAAAACTGAGTGTAACCTAGCCTTGGAGAAGTAAAAGCTTCTCCACCCCGCACAGAACTTTTCGGTTGAAAAACCCATCCAGGCCAGGGATGTGTACCAAGCCTCGCCAAAGATTTGGCTTTGCTTGATGGGAAATCCAAAATATTTTTAGCACCTCTCTTCTCTTTTCTTATTATTTCTCAGCCTCAGCATGAGAAATGAAAGCAGCTGGTTCTCGTTCAGGAAGCACACATTTGCCGGATATTCTGCAAGTGGAAACAATGCAAGCTTTTTGTGTTTTGATAACACCTGCCGGGAACTTCTGAGTTTATCTAGACTGGGAAGTCTGTAGATAGGGGAGCGAGAGAAAGCAGGTGTGGGGATGATTTAAGTTTCAGAGTGGGAAGACAGGAGGGGGAGAATTAAGTAGGCAGGAGCTGGCGAATGAGCCTCAGGAAGATTCGTGAAGCGGTTCTGCTCAGTTTCCCAAAGGAGAACAAAAGGCAAGCCTGCAGGATCAGGCCCAGGTCCCATCTAGTCCAGCGTTCTGCTCTCATAGTGGTCCTTCGGATGGATGTCTGTGGGGAGCCTGCAATCAGGATCTGAGCATGAGAGCCCTCACCCCTCCTGCAGTTTCCAGAAGTGGCTTTCAGAGGCAAACTCCCTCTGACAATGGAGATGGAGCGTAGCCACCAGGGTTATTAACTACTGCTGCATTTATACCCTCCATGATTTGATCTCCTTCTCTTTTAAAGTCACCTGGCCAGGTGGGTGTCTCTCTCAGCTGCTTATGTGAGCTGCACAGGGCAGGTACTGAAAGGAAGCATGTAAAGATTGGAAAATCAAATAACTAGGATGGGGCCTGGGGAGGGGGGAAGTAGAATCCAATCTCCTCCTCACCGCTGGGAATTTCTAAAACCTTCTCTCTTCCAAGTGCAGAGACAGGTATTGTAGGGACTTTTGTCTTTGTAAAGAATGTGGAAGTTGGGCAAGATTCAGATTTAGATTCAGAAGCTTTTGCGAAGAACAGCTTCTGAAGGGGAAACAACTCTTTAATAGAGTTTTAAGCATAATCATTTCCCGTGAAGGAAATGTTGAGGTATCAAGAAATATAAGCTATTAATGATACAGCGTTTCTGATAAACTTGAGTGTGCTCAGACTGTTATTAGGTATCATAAATATATAGCTTTGCATGAAGTCTATACTACCAGATAATCAAATAATTATATCCGAGTTACCAAATATTCCCAAGTAATAAGTATGGGTCTATTAAGTCTTGTGTTGTGCTATTCCAGTACAAAACTAGCAGATCCCATTTTTCAATCAACTTGAGGCTGCATACACACAACACATTTCAAGCACACAACTCCTGGGAGTTCTGTGAGGGATGAACTAGAGTTCCCAGGACCTTAGTGAAGGCAGGGGAAGGCCTCCTGTGTTGAGTGTGCTTTAAATAAATGATGGATATGAAGACTTGCCTTTGTTTGCCTTCTCTCACCCGGATCTAACTGGTCGATTTTACCATATAGGCCTTGGCTGTCCACCTTCTGAGACCCATGAGCATACAGTGGTACCTCAGGTTTAGTACTTAATTCATTCCAGAGGTCCGTTCTTAACCTGAAACTGTTCTTAACCTGAAGCACCACTTTAGCTAATGGGGCCTCCTGCTGCCGCCGCGCTGCCAGAACACGATTTCTGTTCTCATCCTGAAGCAAAGTTCTTAACCTGAAGCACTATTTCTGGGTTAGCGGAGTCTGTAACCTGAAGCGTATGTAACCTGAAGCATATGTAACCTGAGGTACCACTGTATTTGCAAACCACACACACACCCCACACACTGCACACCCTTGCACAAGCAAACACACACTGCAACCTTTTCTTCTTTCTAGTCTCTTATCGGGGGTGGTACCAACAATTTAGGAACCTTCGCCACTGTAACTAAGCCCAGTTTTACTATCAGTGCAACTTTTTCTGAATGCTATGTGGGAAAGCACATAGAGTTGGTAGCTGGAAGCTATCCCCAAGGATCATCTAGTCCAACCCCCTGCAATGCAGGAATCACAACTAAAGAATCCCTTACAGATGACCATTCGAATCTGCTTAAAAACCTCCAATGAAGAGGAGTCCACCACCTTCCAAGGGAGTCTGTTCCACTGTAAAACAGTTCTTACCGTAAGAGTTCAGGTGCCTGAGCAAACAAGAATGTTGTATAATTTTTCCATAATGTTAACAATGAGAGGGGAACTCTACAAATGTTCTCCGAAGTCTCAGTCCTCTTAAATTCCATTTTCCTTTTCATCCTTCTTTGGTCCGTATTTATTCACCACTGCATCCATCTCAGCTCTAATCTCTTTCAATGCTCATCCAATAATTGCTGTAAGGTGTCAACAGTAAATGGAATGCCCAGCAACGTATGCCACATTGAATGTTCTTTGTCTTATTAACGGTTCAGTCTCCACCATAAGATCTTCACAGTCTCCACCTTAAGAACTTTAACCTCCCGTCGTCACCTTAAAATTTTCACAGCATTCTTCCTTATCTAACCACTTTCATTTCCCACGGAAGGAAATGTGACATAGAAATACTACTTTCAGTTTGAAGTCAACAATTCCGTGAAGAAAACAGAATGAATGAATGAATGAATGATAAACTAACAATCAGCCTTGGTAGTTTAAAGCTTTCTTGGTTGCAACAATTAAAACATGTTTTCTGTTCTGCCTTCAGTCTTTTAATGATTGACTCTTTTTAAAGCCAGTTCATGTTGACAATACTGAGTTAGATGGGCCAATGGTCTGACTTGGTATAAAGTAGTTTCCTATGTCTTCTTGGGGACTGTGCCATTTTTGAACATGTTGCAGAAAGACTCATGGCTTATAAGTAGTCTATAGCAGTTTAAGAAGCAGGAGCAGGCTGCATTAAGGTATAACTCCCCAAGTCCAACAGTGGAGGTGTAACTAAGTGTTAAGCAATCAACAAGTGTGCACTTTTGCTTAAATGCCGAAGTTCTGCCTAGCCAAGGATTCTTAGAAAGGAAACAGCTTGCCGCTGCTATGTGGTTAACTCAGTGGTCCACCCTGCTTTATTTTCCATCCATCCCTGTCTTAAGGCCTCAACAGCTTCACAGCTGAACCTTGGTATGCAGAAATAATCTAAACACAAGCACTCGTTGCTTCGAAATTAATGCTATCCTTCCTATTACCCTCTCTAAAGACTACAAGACTACCAGGTTATTAAATAAGTAACACTGCAGATGCCAGGAAAACCAGTTTTTTTTATTTATTAAAAACATATGAGTTGAGAGATATATCATAGGAAAAAAATTATTTCAAATATACAGATACTATTATCCAATTAACCATTAAGGAGAAAGAGAAAGAAAAATTCAGCGGACAATTTCAACTCCCACACCCGCCCACTCCCACTGGGAGAAAAAAATAAAACCTGAACTACGATAGGCATATTTCTTTCTTCTTCAATATCTAATGGACTGTCTTAATTGGAAAGGCAGATATTTTTTTGAAAGTCCCTGTTGATATTAATGAAAAGCTAACAATCATTAAGCCATGTCTCCAGCATTTCTTCCTCCAATTAATTCTTTTAAAATAAAATAAGCCATTGTGAATATTATTTCATTGCTTCATGTCAATTATCAGGACTTTTGAACAGAGTAGACATTTCTATCTAAAAATACAAAAAAAAGGAGGTTGGGGGAGGGTGGATAGAAGGTACTTCTCTTATACAGCTATATTACACAGCTCAGGGCCGTCCCAGCAAACTCTTCGCAATCCTGGAAGCTTCTGACTAAACAGTGAGGAGGGAATAAAAAAGGCAGGGATTGAAGTTAAATCAAGTGCAGCTAGAAGTCCAATGAAAATAATGACTACTCAACATGCTAAACCTGTTTCACTCATTTAGCTTGCTCTTTTAAAGGTTCAGCTGGGCTAAAATTAAACGAAGTGTGCCCAGGGACAATATGAGCACAAATTGAAGATTGCAACAGGGTATTGCCGAGTTAAGCAATCTACAAAGGCCAATATGAACGCAACGTGGGTTGTAAATTGTACATTAAGAATACAATCCACCTTCTATCTATAAAATCATCTGCATGCCACCCGCCGCTCCATTTTCTTCATGACTTTTTTACCCTAAATATTGGCGAGGTCTACCACGTTGGGTCTGGCTCTTGTTTTATTTGAGTGTCTTCTTCAGTCTGTGCCGAATCTGTGGAGAAAAAAAAGGATAGTTAGATGCCTTTCAACAAGATCGCTGAAGAAAGAGGGAAGGGGATTTGAGAATGTAAATGAAAATTGCAATTTCCGGAAATGAGCGAGGAGGAACAAAGCTCCAGCATAAACTTAATTAAGAAGATTGTTTGTTTCCCAGGTGATAGTAATTTTGTCTCAGTGAACTATAGAGAGCAGCTGCTTGAAAGAGAGAAAAGCCACAGATGGAAAATGATTCACCATTCAAACACAAACCACCAATGAAAATCATACCACGTAATTTTAAGAATGGGCCACCAGAATCTTTAACCACAAACCAGAGTGGCGGAGCTACAAATTGTTTCACTGAAATTACTTCATGGCTATTTCAGCAGCCACTTTACAAGTAGCTTTTATGTTATGTTATGGTTTTATGTTTACTTTTAATTGTTCTTATACTCTCACGTGGTTTGTGTTTGCCTTTCAAAAAATAACATTTTATGTGCATCACTTAGAAATTCTGAATATAAAACAGTAAGGAATACATTAAATAGAATTGTAGAATTGGAAGGGACCACAGGGGTCATCTAGTCCAACCCCCTGCAATGAAGGAATCTTTTGTGTCCAACGTGGGTCTTGAACCCATGTCCCTGAGATTAAGAATCTCATGTTGCTCTAGCAACTGAGCCATTGACAATAAAAATAAATTAAAAAATGAAAAGCTAGCAAGCAACTTTACAGGGCCAGAGGGAAGAGAGCAGTGTTGGGCTTCACCTTGCTCTTTTCCTTTTGGTTTTGTGGGCATCAAGATACATTTTCAAATAACTGTTGCTTTCCACTCATCAGACAACAAACACTTACCGTCCTCCACAGATACTTGTACTATTTGGTCTGGTTCAACTGGATCTTAAAAAAAGGAAACTCATAAAATTAGTTGCATTATTTTATATAATGTACTGTTAACTACAACAGCAAACATGATCGACATAATGTATATTCTCTGAAAAGCACCTGTAAGAATTAGCAAAACCCATTTTAGGTCTTTTTGTTTTTGTTTTTACAATCAAGTGGTCTATAAATTTAATGAAGTAAATCCATAAAAATGAATGTCCATATTCTCACACAAACCAAACTAAAGTAGTGTATTAATTCCACCCTGGTATTATTGCACAGATTTGGTCTTCACGCCCATCCGCACCCCTGCTCCACCTCGAAAAAGGGGCTTTATCACCAATCATGTTATCAACTTCTAAGGGCAGTCTAATAAAAATTAACACCTACCTTGTTCCACTGGCTCGGGGACTGGCACAGCTGCTGGTGCTGGTGCTTCTGATTCTGCTTTCTCAGCAATTTCTAGAAGTAGTAAGGTCAGCATTAAGTTATGACAAGGATACATCCCTCCACTAGTAAATGTATTCATGTTAAAACCACAATGTTACTCCATGTCAGTATGCACCAAGCAAAACATTACCAATCCCTTGAAAGATGTGGTAGACAAATAGTATTCCAAAGAGTTGTTTTTTCATTGTTGTTGTTTTTTTAATCTACTCCCTTGTAATCCTTACCCCTTTAGCATTTATACGCTGTCATTTTCTCTCTGGTCACAGGTATAAAATGCTAAGAAAGAGCTGGACTGTGTCATTGGCAGCATCATAATGACAACACAGTTATAGAAGAACGGACATATTAAGCACTGCTAATGAAATACTTACGGTTGTTCATTACAAGTCCAGGGAATGGTCTGTTGGAAAACACAGAATGCAACACTTCAATAAGGGATCGTTTACATATAATCCTAACGTTCTACAGATTTGACATAACAATCTGAGGTGCCAAACTGTATAACCACATATGCACTCTGATCTTCTCATTGTGTTTAATTTTCATGTATGCATAAAGCCACAGATCTTCTACTGCAATTCTTAAGCCTCCCAGCAAGGTCCAAGAAAAATATATATATATTGAACATGAGTAAGTTACTTACGTGACCCTGAGCTTTGCATTTATATACTAAGTTGAAAAATTTCAACTGACTCCATTTTTATTACTTACTCTCCAGTTGTCTTTGTATACTTTCCACTTTCCATTTTTATTATATTTTCTCTACCCTCATATCTTTGCTAGGTCAGTGGTGGACTCTCTCTTCAAAATTCTGCTCCTAGCGCTGTATCTAGTAAATACAGGTCTACTTTCAGGAGACTCACTGAAAATAATGGAACTTTGTTAAACATTCTATTCATTTCAATAGGCCCATTTCATATATGGCTAACGTCCTTAGTAGCAAGCAGTAGGTTTCCAATAAACTCTTGTTGCCTGCTCCTAACACAACCGCTGGTGAAACTTTTAAGAAAATATCCGCTCATCCTTGCTGCTTTAGTAATAGCGCTCCAAATCTGTTTCACCTCCTGCAAGGGAGAGGCAGGACATTTTGGTCACAGGAGCCCTTACAGATGCCTCAGAATGTGAACATCCGAGGGAAGGGAGTTCCACAGTCGTGAGGCAGCAACAGAGAACGCCTCTCTCCATATCCTCCTACAAGCCTGGCTTGTATGTTGGCATCATTCAAGAGCACATTCTCGGCTGATCTTTCAACACTGCAGTGGGGCACAGGGAAGAAGGCACCCTCTCTTAGGTATGCTGGCCCCAGGCCATGAGGAACTGGCCCCAATGGAAGCTGGCCTGGACTGTAAAGCAATCGTACTCCATGCTTCTGAAGATCCTTCCCCATTGGAAGGCAGGGAGCATAGCAGCTCAGATGCTTCTGAGATGATCCTAAGCAGCAGTCACCTCTTTCCCCACAAGACCTCATAAGGAGAAGCATGCTGCCTCAAAATATGGAGCTTCAGTTTAGTGGCTTGTTTGAGCCTCGCAAACACAGGGCATTGTCAAAAGTGTCATAGAGATCACAAGAGGATCTTTTGGTCTTGTGTGCTGGCCCTAGCTTGGTTGCAATGGAAAACAGTGGCAGTTTCTCCCATTATCTTCACTGCATGTCTAATCCATCAACCAGGACCAGAATATGCAGGCCCCACCTTACATCTTCTCCAACAAAAAAAGAAAGAAAAAAGAAAACCAGTGTTATAGAGAATGCAGTTGAAAGCCACATACCTGATGACAGTAAATTTAATAAACTCTGCTGAATCCAGTATCTTCCTCATGGAACTGATTTCAAGATAGCTGGGAGCTTTGAAAGACACTCCAGGGGGCATCCCATCCACCACCACGCAGCCAGGGTTGACTGTGATTTTTCGATAGGGGACTTTCACAGGGTACCCCAGGCCAATGGCTTCCCCTGATGAGAGAGAGAGGTTGTGAGAGTTATGTTGTACTGTCCTCCCGTTAGGCCACAAGGAAGGCAGAGTTTACTTGAAAATACTACACAGTAGCAAAGGCAGGATCATTATAAAATCAGAATCAACTTCAACGGAGATGTGCTTTTGCTGACCTTCTGGGACTGAACCCTTCCACTTATCTTCATTTAAGCTTTTGGAAGTGCTGTTTTTAAAAATACTGATTAAAACATTACTCAAGGGTACGCAGTAACAGCACCTCTTTCTTTTGTTGTTAAAAAGTGTGGCACTTAGTGTAACAACTTTATGGCGAGTACTGGCACCTATATAAGAAGGGTCCAGCTGGATCAGAGTAAAAAAGAAGGTCCATCCCATTTCCTACGGTAATTAACAAGATGCCTGTAGGAAGCATAAATGGAGGAAATGACAGCAACAGCCCTTCCCCATCATTTGCCTCCCAACAAATGGTATCCAGTGTCTCACACCGCTTTGGAATCAGGAGGATTCCATTTTGTTCCCATGCCTAATAGCCTCCAGTAGATCTATCCTCTGCTACGCATCTTTTAAAGCCATCTACTCCCATGGCCGTTATTGCGTGTTGTTTTCAATAAGTTAATCAAGCACTGTGTAAAGAAATACTCCCTTTTGGTTGCCATCACTAATCAGATGTATGAAATCCACCAGACACCAGCTGGCAGTTTTTCTTCAAAGGCAGTCTTTCGATGACCACTGGTATTAAGTTGCATCTAACTAATTACCCCACTGTTTTTAAAATCACAGGTGTCAGTTGTTCCCATTGCATCATCCAAGGCTGCATGGAGACTGCAACATGAGCTACCTAACACAAACATGATAATTTGCACTTAAACCAAAGTGTATTTTTATATATGATCCTATATAACTACAATAAAGCAACCTATTGAACTCAAGAAGCATCAAATGACAGCTATTTTCTAACGACTGAATACACGCTTTTCAGTCAAGTGGAATTGCATATAGAACTCGGGAAAGAGGGAACAGAAATGTTTCCTTCAATTATGAAGTACGAAAGGATGAGTTTATTTACTATATTTATAGACCACCTGTCAACCAGAGCACCTGCCAACCACCAACAGAAAACAGGTGCTAGCTAGGTGTGCAAAGACACATGCACTCAACGCCCAACTTCTGACTTTCCGAAGCATAAACGGCTCTTTTGCAGCTTCAGACTTTTACAGCTCAGTCCTCTTTCAATTCAGGTCTCAAAGGTAGGCCTACTGCACCTTGGATTAGAGAGTCTACATTGCAAAATTAAAATTACCGAACTTCCGACTGAACAGGTCATTCACTTGTTCTCTCAGCTGTCGGGCCTTCTCTACTTTGGATGTTCTCTCATCATCGTCTGTAAAATTTGAAGAAACAAGAATTAAATCATATTTTGTGATTGACTTGAACCTTAAAAAAAAACAGATCTTGTTTAAACGCAAGCAAAGACAATTTAAGTCAGTCTAGTTATTTAAAGAGCCCTGTTCTACTCATCTAGTGTTGCTGTTGTCCTATCACCAACTCCTTCTCAGCCTTAAGACTGTTAGTTCTTTGGGGTTTAAAGGAGTGGCAGGAGAGAGCCTGAGACAAGTGTGTGCCCACTTTCTTAAGTGCCCTATAGGGCATGTCTCTACCAGGTGTACCTGCTGCTAAAGTCCTCTCTTTCTTTTAGCTTAAGTCACTAGATTTTAAAGCAGGGCAGGGAAATCTGCACACACACTCTAGATGATGTTGGACTACATCTTCTAGCTGCATGGTTAATGGTCAATGATGATGGAGATGTTAACCAATAACATTTGGAGGCCATACATGTCCCACCCTTGCCTGAAAGATTAAAGGAAAGAGCACATAACAGATATGCAGGTGCCCCTTGGTGTTTTTACGGAGCAACTGAAAAAAGTGAACTAATGCAGAAAATAACAAATTGACAAGCTCTTCCTCCAAGCTAGGAACCTCATGGAAGCATGGAGAAAGGGAGGCAGCTGGTTAGCAACCTGGCAGCTACCAGCACTCTCCCCTAGTTGAATCTTTGGGGAAGGTCAGTCAGGTCATTGCTTTGCAGCCCACATTCTCCAGTAGAAAATATAGCAAGGAAGTTCTCTAAACCCTTGTGCAAGTTCTAAGGACAGTCTGCGGTTGGCAGGTGGGAAGCCAGCATGTTCCTGTAAGCAGAGCAATCCAACTCAGGAAGGCTGCTTTCAGTTCCTGTAAATCATCAATAAGATAGCCTTTGTCTTTGAAGCACTGCTTCTTCTGGGAAATGAAAGTAAGGAACATGGGGCTTCTATGTTACGTTTAATTTGCAAAATGAGAACTATTAGCAATAGTTAAGAATGTCTGCTTCTTCTCTTTCAAGCCCTTGGGAGCTTAGCTTCAAGATACTTTTGCAAGTAACACAGAAGAATACGGTTTGTTATGACTAGTATCTTATGTGGTGTCTGCTGGCACATGAACTAGAATTAGAAGTAGGACAGGCACAAAAATATTGAACTGGAAAAAGACTCTGTCTTTAAAACGGCTTTTGAAAATGCAAGGTAGGGAGGGAAATGGGCAGAGTACCTGGTATAGTCACTTGGATGATGTTAAGATCTTCCACTCCAGCAGCTGTGTTCACCACCGGATCAGGCACACTTACAGTGTTTATCACGGTGTTTGATAAACTTGTTCTTCCTTACAAAACACATGGTTTCAAAGCATTAACACCAAAAGGACTCGAATCTCATTTCGTATTATGAGTACTGCCCAGTAAAAAAGTATCAAGAACAAATAAGACTGAACTCAAAAGAGTGGTCAACATACAAGGCAGATCTAAGTTCCAATTGGAGGACAGCAGCTGTTGGCCCCCACCCAACCATATCCAGCGCCAAATCTGTTCACGTTCTAACAGGAGTGCTGCTTTACTCCTTGCAGAGGATGGCAGTGTCTCTGCACTCCAAAAGGATAAGGAACTCTCCCAACAAAGACATCATCATACGCACTATGCCCTATTTGAATTTCAGAACACATCTGATGTCATAGCACTCCAGGGAGGCAGCGGAAGGGGAGGAAACTGCACACGTAGACTGGCAGCTAGCTAGAGAGATTTGGAATGAGAGCTGAGATGTTGAGAGCAGAAGACCAGTAACTTGGTCTCTGCAGCTCTTGTCACTTCTTTGATATAGTAACCTAATAGCACTTTCAAGACACAAGACTCTTTCTTATTCTGAGGTGCAAGGCCCAAAAACAATGACTTGATTTATGCTATCACAGAACCCTTGGAGTACTTTAATTCGCTCCCCTGAATTGTTCCCTACTGATCAGTGTCGCCATCTTATGAACACAACAAAGTCGGTGCCATTGAGGGCTTAACTCTGAGACAAAACTCACTCTGAGGACTTGGAACAGCGGCAGCGCTTTCTTTAATTGCCGCCTCGAACATCTCAGGCCTGCAAAGAAACATGGTGGAAGTTTTGGCATAAGAATATAAAGAAGTGCGATCAATAAGTAAACACAACTGCAGCTTCATTTCCCTCTGAGGCGAAGCTGTTCATTCTAAAATGCCATAGCATGGCTGGTCAAGCGGATGGAGGAGAAAGCACAATGACCATTCCTCCTCAAAACATGCAGTCTTGCTCCCCATAAATTCCACTTGTCTTGGATATCCCTCCCTGAAGCTTCCCTCTCTCTCATCTCAGGGAAGCGCAGAACCCTTCAGCCAAACATTAAAGCAAAAGCAAAGTGAACCTATTATGTTATCCATGTGCATCCTGAACCAAGAAGTTTAAACATGTTGGCTGCATTCAGACATCACACTAAACCAGTGTGATGTGATGTGAATGAGCCAGGACAAGCTGGTGAGCCTCAGGCCTGCAGCACATTTCCTCCTCCTGTGGAAAGGCTGCAAGAGTTGGGAAGTTTTCTAACTGTGATTAATGTTAATGTGGTTAATGAAACCGTGGTCTAAGCCTGTTCATCCATGACCAGTCAGGTCCACCTGGGCAGCACAAAAGCAAAATCCTCTTGTGCATCTGGTACCCAGTGGTACACTGCCTCTGATCCTGTAAGCTGGGTTCCATTTGGCTATCCTCCACCAATTTGTTCTTTTACGGCATATTGTCCCCTAGCATGAGACACATCTCCACAAATGGAGTTACCTGTTTTGTGCCCCTGAGTTATAAAAGGCTCAAACTCTTCCTGAGATGACGCAATTATCAACTGAAACACTGCATGGACTTTTGTGTCCAACTCATTTTACTGTTTTTTAATGTTGCAGTGTGATGGGCCAACCCCTTATTTTGACCTCAGGGTCAGCTCATATGGTTACAAACCCCTCTTTCTAAATTTCACTTTTGTGCTCTTCATTCAGTGCTACACCCTCCCCCACCAGCTCAGCGCCTGCCTTTGTTTTATCTTCATTATTCTTCCGGGAAATAACAGGAGGTACTGAATAAGTCTTATATGGAAGAAAGTAAACAAGGTTTTAATTCCAGATGGACTCAGAAATGCAATGCGTTCATGTTAGCTTATGGCCAGAATGCCAATGCACTGAAAGCTGTCCCAGTAGATTTAGTGAAGACAAAAGAAAACAAGACTCAACAGACAAAAGGCAGGCACTAGCAACCGCATAATTATTTCATGTATTATACAAGGCAACAAGGTGTTTTACTTTAAGCTATACTTGCCCAATTTGCCTTTTGGATTTGCAAAATGCCTTTATCACTATTCACTTTCAGACAACACAAGAGGCATATTTGGATATGACAAGATCCTGCTTAAGAAGTAGCCTTCAACCAGCTGAAAACATTAGCAACTATACAATAGAGTCATACCTTGGTTTTCGAACAGCTTAGTTCCCTAACGTCGGAAACCCGGAAGTGACTTTTCCGGCTTGCGAACTATTTTTGGAAGCCAAAATTCCGATGGAGCTTCCGCAGCTTCTGATTGGTTGCAGGAGCTTCCTGTAGCCAATCAGAAGCCACAATTTGGTTTTTTCAAACGTTTTGGAAGTCAAACAGACTTCCGGAACAGATTTCGTTTGACTTCCAAGGTACGACTGTATACAGTATTCACTCTATTCAACACTCCGTAACCAAGTGCTTCCTGTCATCCTAACTGGGCATTTCAATCTTACTTTAAGTTCTGCTTTCACTTATCAAGTAAACCAAAAACCCACAGGGCCACTTTGTTTCTATCTCTGACTGAGAAATTTATTCTGAAGTTGGCACAGCAATATTTGGAGCCATGCTCTTGAGGTCATCTGGATTTAAAACATTTGATTTGCTGATTTGGGTCTCAAATATGGAGTTTGCAAGTGATCCCTTACCAACTGATTTTAAAATGCTGCTTGTTCAGCTAGAAACCTTAATTTGTGAGGAGTCTTATGACTATGAAGAAATGAAATATTTGCATTTATTAGTTATTATTCCAAAAGTTTGAAACAAGGTTGCCCAAGTCTTAGAGAAGCCTACCATGAGTATTGCTAGTCTAAAATACAGCCTCGTTTCTCTGATGGAAGAATCCAGCATCTGTCTAGGCTGAACTCTGTATTTAAGTTGTTCAGAGAGGCCAGTCATGTGGTACGCATTGCATTTGGCTTACTTTTTAATGATAAATTTTATCTTAGCTTTGTTTCGGAGGATCTTTTCCAATCTTGGAATGCCAAACGTGGAAGGGCGACGGAATGGCACTCCCTCGGGAAGGCCTTCAACATAGAAATCTTCAGGGTAAGACTCAAAGAGCGCAAAAGGGACTTTCACAGGCTCCGTCAGTCCAAGAGCTTCCCCTAAAACAAAATGTATTTCACAATATTTGAGGGGGTGGGGCTGGACCTTTGATGAATTTCTCTCTCACACATACGTTCTAGTGGTTGCTAGAGCTAAGCCAAAATACGAAGGGACAAAGCTTTTCTTGAGAGTTGACCCTCCACAAAAAGTCCCCAATTCCAGTTATATTTGATATAGGGATTAGAACAGGTGGCAAAATAATCACTTTAGTGCAGTTGCCCTTTTAGCAGGAGACAATTGGTAATACATTCTGCACATTCTTTCTCCCTTCAGAGCATGATTTTATAGTGAAAGGTGATTATGGAACACTGCTCTTTTGGAGAAGACGTTTTGGAGAGGGCAAAAGTACTTTCTGCTTTGTAAAAAGAAACACCACACAAATTTCACTCAGCCCTAATGCACATTAGTAGGCTTTCAACCAATATTGAAAATCAGCACGAAAATCCAAAATCTGCAGGTGTTTTTTGCCAAATAATATTTATTAGTTTTCCAAATTTTTAACAAATCAATGCCAAATTACATCTAATTTAATACAAATTTTCCAAAAAGTTGACTTCCTGCTCTTCATCCTAGACATGTCTCTACTTTCCCCCACTGCTGCTTGATATTACATATTTCTAATTCACATTTCATTCCATATATTCCATTTACAATTATTTATTTTTTAGTTTTTTCCTTTCCCATTATCCAGCAGTTGTTGACTTATCAATTCCTGCTTGTATATTTACATAACAGTAACATAGTCCCTTAAAGAACAAAAGAGGCTATACATCCAGAATCTAGAGGTATTATCCATATGCCGATGTACCAAATTAAGAAAACAGGTTACTGCAGAAGCTTAACCTCTTTCCTTTCACGCAAGAGAATCAGTTTGTTGCTGCAAAAAAACAGGATAGAAAGCCAAATCACAATAATCACATTCTTTTACATTTATTATCTGTGAGTTCTCAACTGCAGTTTAAAGTGGTACAGTCAAGACTTCGATTTACCAACTTAATAATAAGAACTAGGCTGTAATTTATGGATGTATCAAATATTTTGCTGATAAAGTTCCCCTCAGACGTGCTAAGATAATGTTTTAAAAGGCGCAGTATGCTTACCACATTTCTCATTGAAAAGGTTTTCAACTTTTTGCTTCAGGTCAGTAATCTTGGCATTCCAGGCCTCTGTCAAAACATCAAAAGAGTAAGTCAATTATCTGCACCCTGATCCACTACTTCTTTGCTTCTATGGAAATACCAAGTGATGTTATCTGGATGCCTCTGTACAATGAGCAAGAAAAAACTAGTAGCAAGTTCCACATATAAAGGGGGAAATGGGTTTGTCCTAGGTGCAACTTACGTAACTTTTCTCTTTTTAGGTACTAGACGTAAGGCAAGCAGCCCCTAAGTAATTAAATTCCTAACAGAGTTACCAACAAAAAATGAGGATTTCTATTGCTTTGTTTACATTTATACACTGCACTTTAGTTCCCAAACTGGGAAGAGTGTAAATATATTATCTAGTTAGTGAATCAGACTGAATTCAAGTAGGCAACTGTCAGGAATAAAGAACAGGAATAAGTGGCTAGTGGCATGCAGTTTGGAAGGAGACAGTTTTCCTCAGAACTTACCAAAAGAGAACTCTCTTCCTCTTGGTTTAAAGCCTACATTGGATCCATTGGTTTGAGGATTAGTTTTAACTTCTGGGGTTTGTGTCTTGTTAGCAAGACCTGTGTTAACACACACACACAATACATCCCATGTAAATTAATGACTTTCTAGTGTACAACAAGAACATGCAAGACTAGAATTTACAATACTACTCTAAAATTTCAAATCTGCTGAGATCTTAGTGGACATGGCACAAGTGTTCAGTTACCCTTGAAAATAATATTAACAAGCAGCTACCCCATTTTTCAAGGAAGTGTGCTTTTAAAGTTATCAATCTTGCTGTTAAGCTACTTTATTTGGATTCAACTAATTTATCATCTAAAACACATAGTTAAACTGTTGAAATCAGCCCTTTTCATCACTATACACATACACACACACACACACACACACACACACACACACACACACAAACACACATGGTCCCAACTCATGTGAGTGGATTTTCCCTGTTCTATTCCCAGAAAAGCCAGAAATCCACATTTTAGAGGATGTTGTTTTATTCACTTCAACACTCACAACCCACACAACTGGAAAGGTAACACAGACATCTCTCTATACAATGATGGGGAAATGAGGAGTGGGTGGGGAATTAGGGACTTTTAGCCCAATGAAGGTATACATAAAATCTGTGCTGGGAATAGCATACCAAAGGTGGCATAATGGGTCAGTGTGTCTGGCTGCTAACCAGAAGGTTGGTGGATCAAGCCCACTGGATGGCTGTGGGCAGGATTCCTGCAATGTGAGGGGCTTTGACTATGTGACCCTCAGGATTCCTGCCAACTCTACAATTCTATGATTAAGAATGAGAAGATTTTCTGATGGCTCTTCTTCCCCTCCCCCACAACAGACTAAGCTTCCAGAGAAGCTCTGTTCTGCAGACAGAAGAAACCCTCATTCAGTAACCGGTACAAGCCAAGCTACTTATTCTCAAGCAAACATATTTAGTCAAGTCCATACCTTCGTCTACAGTAACTTCAATCTCTGGAATCTTGGAGTTGCTTACAGGACTTTGTGCAGAGTTTGAGCTGTTCGGACTTTGGGGTTCTAAAAAGAAAGGAAGTTTGTTTATTGTTTATAAAGCTCTATGTAGATATGCTTGTTTCAGACAATGTCCCCTGCCACAATTAACTAGCATGCCTAAATCGGCATGGGGCAGAGAGACTTCTTGAAATGCTTACGCTAGTTTCCAAACTATTTACTCCATCTGTTTTGTGTAAAGGAATCATGTGGGGACACCTGCTAGATTTCAGATCTCTTGCTTTGAAAACTCAAACACCGTGCGGTGCGTGAAGATGACATCCCTTTCCTTTGTAACTGGTGTTTAGTCACTTACCCGAAGTATTCACTTTACTAGCCAATCCAGGAGGCAAATAAGAGGTGACAAGTTCTGGCCTATAAATTAGAAAATGCATTTTTAATAGGATGCTCTCATAACAATGCGAGTATCTTACATACAATATTTGTACTCGTCCATCTTCATGCTGGCAAGCAAACATACAACTACAGCCAAGTTTAAACAGGGTGATGGAAGCCTGAGAAGCCTCAAGTGAGTGGGCGGTGCAAGCAACTGTTGCTGCTGGCATTGCCTGGGAACAGGGGGAAGAATGAAGGGGAGAAATCTCCAAGCGGGATGGCAGAGTGAAGCAAGTGAGAGGCCCAGGCAGCCGTCACCAGGGTGGGGTTGGCGAGCAAGACGAGCAGGGGCAGAACCCCTTGTAAAAACCATATGGATCCTGTAACAGCTACATGCGGTGGGAGTGGGGAGGAAGATCTCCAGTAAGAGATGGGTTTTAGTTATAATTAAGGAGGGAGGAGACAACTGTAGATGTTACCGTTGTAACTTTCCAATTTGTACATACCCAAATATTAATTTCTGTTTCAACATCACTTTAACAACAGCTATTTTCCAGAGATAAAATATGAAATTTCTAAGTTGCCCAAATGTGCAAAATGCAACAGCCACTCAAAATTATGTGTGTCTACCTGACATGTTCTAATGATCTTGTTAAGAGGGCCCAATGGCTACAGTTCTAAAAGTGGAACCTGGCAACTAATGACCACCTGCCCAACCCCTCAAGTTAAATGCTGCCATCATATTCACACATTTGAAATCAGTGATTTCGAGACACATAAACTGTACATAGCACCCCCTGCAAAGGTGACTGATGTCTTAAGAATGATTACTTGAATGTCTGTTTCATCCATCCTGCATGTAAGCTTGCTTCACATTTTCATGATATCCCACAGTGAAGTACGGCTGAGTTGGTAGACCAGGAGTCTCTTAATCTCAATGTTGTGGGTTCAAGCCCCATGTTGGGTAAAAGATTCCTGCATTGCAGGGAGATGAACCAGATGACCCTCCCAACTCCACAATTCTATGGTTCCATGATTCTATCTAGCCGTCTGGAAACAGCACTAACCATTAGTGTGTCACACTCTATGGCGGGATGCCCTTGAGTCTGGTCTGGAAGCTTCAGCTAGTGTAGAATGCTGTGGCTAGACTGATGCTGGAAGCAGGCTACTGCCAACACATGACACTGTTGCTAAAAGACTTGCACTGGCTTCCCATCTGCAACCAAGCCAGGTTTAAGGTTCTTCTGCTAGTGTGCAAAGCCCTGAATAACTTATGCCCAGAATACTTTAAGTACTGCCTTTCCCTGTATATGCCAAATTGATCACTGAGATCATCTGATGGAGCTTGGTGGTCCTCCATGGACCAGAAGTGCAACTCATACGAACAAGATTATGACTTCAGTGTTATGGGCCCAACTCTGGAATTCCCACCAGAACTTAGACAGGCACCATCCCTGCTGAGTTTCAGATGACTGGTTAAAATTGCTTTATTTCAGGAGGCCTTTACATCAGGAATGCTTCTCTGATGTTGTGAAATTTCCTGATGTTCTTTGTTTAAATTTCTGGGGTTTAATTTCTTCTAAATTGTGTATATTTTTATCGTTGCAAGCTGCTTTGAGACCTAGATGCTGAAAAGCAGGATATAAATATTAACAGCAACAGCAACATCACTTTAGACCTAGGTATTAAAGATCCCTGTTGGGGTAATAAGTCAAGACTGAGGCTGCATCTGCAGATAGCATTTTGAGATTTTCCAGAACAAGCATTTTTTGCTTTAAAAAACAACAGTAAAGCAATAAAATTGTAAATTTAAAAATAGTAAAGAGATTAACCACCAGCTTACTTTTTCACAATGAATTTGATTTTTCCACTCCCTCGGACAATCCTTTCCAGGCGTGGGATTCCAAACCATGTTGGACTTCGAAAGGGGATACCTTCAGGTAAACCTTCTACATACAAATGCTCAGGGTTTGACTCAAAGACAGGATAAGGAACTTTCACTGCTTCACTCAGACCCAGAGCTTGTCCTAGAAAGAAGGTGACAAGTTGACAGGGATTCAATAGACCATTAGGCATCAAAGTTCTGCTTTCAAAGGCAGGCTACCCCCTCCTTTTTAATTATTTATTCTATTTAAAATATTTAAAATATTTATATTCCATTTATAAATCTCAAAGAAATTCACACAATGTACATGAAAATCATTAAAATTTCCAAGTAGTCATAACACGTAATTTAAGATCCAGATCTAGCATCCTTGACTTTCACAGCTTTACACACATAGCCTTTCCCAAAATATATATAAAGGCAATTGGTCAAAATGCTACAACAATGTAGAAAAAACTGTGTTTTTTACTTCTACAGTATTTTCATCTAGCAATGGTACTACAAGGTGAATATCCAACAGTTAACTTACCAAATTTTAGATTAAATATCTCTTCTACTTGCTTCCTCAGTTTTGTGATTCTGACATTCCAATCTTCTTTGACTGGAAATTAAAAATAAATACGCCTATATACAATGTATGTTTCCATCAGTAAACGTGCAATGATGGCACTTAGTGAGAGGTCAATTCAAACATGTAACCTACAGATTTGCATGTATATAAATACATATCCTTAGAAGCAGACTATGAAATGAAAGCGAACAAGCTATAATTTTGCTCTATGGTGGGAAATTCAGATCATTTGGGTTCTCAAAGCATCACTTGCTGTGGTGAGTGATCTGAGTCACTGTACATAAGGCAACATCTAGATTAATGAAAATAAGGGACAGCAGGAAGATCACAGTAATGATAAAAATGCTTTCAGATATATCATCTCATATTTAGCTTTAACAACGAAGACAATGAGTGATAGTGATCCAATGATGATATTGTGCCCCCAGAAGAAATCCAACAGAAAATTTGAAAGAGAGATAGTTTCTGGTGTTCCTCCTTTCCTACTGCAGTGCTCTGTAACCCTCAACATGATACAGAAAGAATCGCCAAAAACTGTCCCTCCCTTCCCATTCTGATAATGGATTGCATCCTTCAAGAATCACCATTGGAACTGCACCATATTCTTGTTACCCTGGCCTTTGACAGTTAAGATATTTTGCTTTGTAGAATCAACCTCTTCTGTTTAACCTAATTTAATAAATAGCAATAATATATGTGGCCTTTTAGGTGGGATGTTTTCAATATATTTTCCCCATCTTAATGAATGCATTTGGCACAGAGAAACAAGTGAATACCAAAGCTCCAAAAGTTCACAACCCATCTCTATGAATAAAGGGGATCTGAATACATTAAGGAGGGGAGAAAAAGCATCTCTCCAAGTAGTGGGTGGAAGTAATGCTGTCTGTATTTGATCACTTCATAAATGCCCATCTTACCAGGCATGTTTGTTCTTGGTTGAGTAACCTCTGCAGGAGTGATTGTTAGAAGTTCTGGCCTGTAATTAAAAAAAATAAAAATTAACATATAGTGGAAGGGAGGTAGTCCGTACTGTACAATCTTTAGTGCTTCTACCCTTGAACTATCCAAGTAAGAGTACTAATCGATTACACTCTGCATTGTGAAGCTCACTTAAAAAATAATAATCAAGTACCAGCTCAAAACAATGAACTTTAAAAAGCAAAATAGCAGGTATCAGCAAAATACAAAGGTTCCAAGAGCCCATTCGAAACATATAAAACTATCAAGTTAGTGAATTGCATTTTGGTTGATAATAGGGTTTTGTTTTTTTAACAAAAGGGTACCATCTAAAATGAAGGTTGCTTATTTCACATATCATTTAACCTTTTCTGTATTTCCAATCCAGGGTTGATTTACAATGTAAGAATGAAGAAAGAAAACAATCCTTCAGTAACAGTTTAGATCTTTGAAATACGTTCAAGGGTGAAACAGATCTCTTCTAGCCAAGACAAATTGCTAGAGAAATCAGAGATAGAAAGAAACACCTGTCGAAAGTTGTATATTCCTATAGATATATTTCCAGTCTCTAACACACATCAAGAAAAACTGTTGGCATTTTTTTGGCATTGACAAATTTAATCTCAAAAAACAGAAATGCAAAGAAAGCTCATCTTACTTTTTTATTACAAATTTTATTCTGTTGCCCACTTGAAGAATTTTCTCCAGCCGAGGAATTCCATACCAAGACGGACTCCGAAATGGAATGTTCTCTGGCAGACCTTCCACAAAAAGATCAGTGGGGTGCGCCTCAAATTTCTGGTAAGGGACAGCCTTTGGTTCAGTGCTCCCCAGTGCCTCAGCTGTTAGAAGAAGCCAGACTATTTGTAATTTCACAACATGGACAAAACTCAGACAAGAACCCTAGTTTCAGTCTTTAATTAAACTAATAGTCAATACATTTTATGAACAAGGATCCCTTACTGAAAGGACATACAGGTGAGTACAGAGCCCTGCCCCAATGACGGCTAAACTCCCTGCAGTAAGGTTACCAGATTATTTTCAATTAATCCAGGGAAACTTTTCAATTTCAATGGATTTTGCATGGGGACTGATTTGTACATCCGGGGACTGTCCCTAGGAAAAGGGGACGTCTTGTAACCTTACCCTGTAGTCTGCCTCCCTATGTCCTTTTCTCTTCTGCTGCAGTCTAATATCCCAAGCATATGTGGTACAGAGAAAAAAGGGCATTGGGAATTGATATGTATTCCTGCCCTGTGCAGCCCTCTTCAATCAAGCACTTTCTAGGTAATTGGGGCAGATCATGTCTTAACAACCCTGGATCCTCCAGATGCAGCTTGGCTCCTGAGAACACCCCATCTTGATGCCACTGGACCCAGTTAAAAGGTAAAAACATGTTAAGAGGCATTCTTAACTCTATTTGCCACAAACGGAAAGCAAACTACTGAATTTTAGTAGTTTTAGTAGTTTAGTAAACTGTAGTTTAGTAAACAGTTTAGTAACTAGTAAACTGTAGTTTAGTAGTTAAAATTTTAGAATTTTAACTGGAAAGCGATCTCTGATCTGCATGCCAGTCCTGAACCCACCACCACCAAAACTGAACAATGAATTGCTGCCAAGTGAACTTACCAAATTTTCTGCAAAATAACTGGTCGACAAGCTTCCTTAGTTTGGTGATTCGGGCATACCATTCTTCTTTCACTGTGATCAGTGGTAAAAACAAGAATTTGATTTAAATGTTTAACATTCTGAAGTTAAAACACTGTTTATTTGGCAAAACTTTATTCACTTTGAATATCCTTCTCCCTTGAAGTCACAGTGGCAAAAGAGGGCAAGTGCATAAAAGCAGAGAGGAAAGAGGTAAACCTATAGGCCTCCAGAGATGGGAATGTAGAGTCCAACATCTTCTGGAAGGCCACAGGCTCTCTGCCCCTGGCATAAAAGGAAGTTGTCCCTAGGAGCCCTCACAAACTTACAGGTAGCAGGCAGCAAAGAAGCAGAGAAAAATAGATGCTATGTTGTTTTAGTTCCTTCAACCCAACAAATACATTTTTACAGTTAAGGTTCACCTCTTGAGGCCTAGCTCAAGAGATGAAAATTGTTTTAATTTGTTCACTGGAACATTCTTCTGCCCTTCACCGAATGTTTCCAAGATGGCTTGCAAATATATACAAGATCAATTTTAAGTATCAAATACAATTCAATCATAAAACAAAAATCACAAGCAGCATTAAAGCCATTAAAAAGTATTAAAGGAAGGATTAATAGATTCTTTTAAAAGTCTTCATCTGCCACCAAAACAGCAGCAGCACCAATGCCAGGCAAGCCACCTGGAGGAAAGAGTGCCAGACAGGTACCACAACCAATAATGCCTTCACTTAATTTACCATCCACCTCACCTAAGAAACATTGGTCAAATCTGACCCAACAGCAATACCCTAAACACATTTATTTAACTGATTGCACGTTGTATACTTTTAGTTATGCTGTGAGCTTGGATTTAGGTCTCTCGGGAAATTCTGTGCTGCAATTGTCTTTAGAACACGTAATACTGTATTTTCTTTGATAGCCTTTCAGAGCACAATGTTGTTGGGCAGCCATCATAAATACAATCAATGAATAAAATAAACACAGCCACCAACTCCACATACCCCTCTTACCTCCTGCAACAGGTTTGTCTAACGGTAGATCTTCTCGCGTTGAATTTAGCAGCTCATGCCTGCAAACATTTTAGGGCATATTTTTGTTAATCAACATACTACTATTATACTACCACTACTTTTACCCCATAGCAACCATTATTTCACCCATCAAATAAAACTCCATCTTACCAATAGGAATGGGAGGGATACACAAATTATAACAGAAATTGCCAAGGGCTGTATCCAACTGAAATTAATGGACTCAAGTTACTCATGTTCATTATTTTCAATAGGTCAACTCTGAGGAGGACTTGCATTGGATACAATACAATACCTAAAGCACGAAGCTCATAATACTGTGACAGGGTAAAAACTTCACTTCTAGTCGGCAATCTGCTAAAGTCTGATTGGCTATGGAATATTTTCTGAAGTACTTCCTCACTGGTAAGCAAAGATGCAACTTACAGATGGGTAGTGTACATTTTTTTCAAGATCAGAGAGCCTCATACTTATTAAACAGCAAGTGTTTTCAGAATAATCTCGCAAGAAACTTTATACAATACGCCATGGTGATAATTTGACAGTAATAACCAATGGCAAAAACAAACATTTGGTTATCTCAAAGCTTGAATAAAATTAGGTCTATCAGCAAAAATCTGAAGACTGCTCAGAAGAACCCACAGCAGCAGCACCCCAATATATATTCTGATTATTTGAACAATACTTGGTTCCACCTGACTGCAGCAGAGGGAGAGATGGGATAGCCAAATTGTTTCCATTCAAGGTGGCATAACCTTGAATTATTTCGATTCAGGGTGTAACAACTACCACACAATTTATCAACTGGTGCCTGCCTTTATTCATTTTCCTGATCCCTCTTGTGCAAAATGTCTTTTAAATTGTAAGGCTGCAAGGCAAGACATGCCTTGCATACTACAGATCTTACTTTAGCCATTTGTCTACTGAACAGCAGGGTAAAAAAACATTAAATAAAGAACAGTGCAGAAATACATGAAATGGCAGCAAATATTATGCTGTAAGAATGTAAAAAGCAGCTGTGCTGGATCAGTCAAAAAGTTGATCAAGTCTAGCGTCTTATTCTCCACAGAGGCCAGCTATATGTTTCTGCGAAGCCAACAACCCTATTCTCTTTCAGCAATTGCCATCCAATAGGCATACTGCTTCAGAACACAGAAGTTCTGCCCAGCTATCATGTATAGTAATAGCCATTAATAGAGCAACCCCCATTCATGAATTTGTCTCCCTGCCCTTCACTGCATCTGGTGACTGCAAGCTCTGTATTTGTGCACTGAGCCAAGATGAGAATGAGCCTCCTGCGCACACACATGCAGCTGCTTCACTTTTCCACCCATGCAAGTAGGGAACAAGCCAGGAAGTCAGTTCACTACAGCATCCAGTAAGATCCAAAATGGGAAGCTATGGTTAATAGCTTCCAAACAAGTTGGGACATTAGGCCACCTTTAAATCATTCAACAATTATTAAGCTGAGGTTTGATCATTTGAACACAGCCCTGATATGATATCTTTTTTTCTGCCTTGAATCTACTTCTAATAAATTTCACTGAGACAGCCCCTGCCCAAGTGCCAATATTATGAGGGGGAGAGAGGTTATAATTGATGAGCAATTCTACAGAAAAAGATACTGTGAATCCTGCATTTGTGGACACTCTAATTTAAACCAACTTACTCACTTCTTAATCACAAATCGTATCCGTTCCTTTGCCAGCAAAATCCTTTCGAGGCGAGGGATCCCATAGGTGGAGGGTCTCCGGAAGGGAATTCCTTCTGGCAGTCCTACCACATACAAATCTTCAACATGGGACTGGAAGAGTGGATACGGGATAGTCACGGGGCCTTTTGCGTTAATAGCTTCAGCTTTAATATAAAAAGAAAAACACACTAAGAGTGGCTTAGCATTGCCTGCAAACTTACTTGTTTCGAAAGAACACCAAATGTAGTATCTCACTTAGCAGAACCCTATACAATCAAACCTGCTTTATATAAAAGAGGAAGAGATTATGCCTCGTAAGTGCAACTCAAACCCCACACCAAACTAATTTGCACTAACCATAGATTAGAACCCAAGCCCTAGTTTGAGCTTCCAAAGTGTACAACAGTTCAGAGCTGCTTATCTGTGCTTATTTTCTGTCCCCATATGGAAACTAGAGTGTAGAGCCAGGACTCCCAGAGGAAGATTTATAGCCATTAAGTACGAACTGTCAACTCAGATGCCCCATCAAACCACAGACAGTCCCAAGCCATGATTTATAAAAACTTCCAAGTCATGGTTTCAGACTTTTGACAGTGGATCACATTATCACCCAACACAATTTTTGTGTAATGCCCAAAATGAGTAACTTACTTGCTATATGCAAACATATGCTACAACGTATTAAGACCAGGGGTGGCTAATTTGTGGGCCAACAGGTGTTGCTGAACCACAACTCATCTCATCAGTGACTTTGACCATCCTAACTAGTGCTGATGGGCACTGGAGCCCAGCAATACCTGGGGGATTATACGTTAGTCACCACTGATCTAGATGTTGCAGATCTGTAGTTAAGTTGTATGCCCACCTATAATGTCAACATTTTCAAATACAGAAAGGATGCAGAAATCCTCCTCCAACTTTTTAAAAAGCAAAGTTTTAAGCCTACAAGACTACGAACGATGTGGTCAAGCCCAGCAAATCTAAGAAACCAGAAGAGTGAAATCAACACAGAGCCAAACTCCTTGGCCTTTCGGATGATTAGCTAAAACCGAGTAAGTTACACAAAATAAGCAGCGTTACTTTACACAGGTTGCAGACTGCACCCCCCCCCTTTTTTGGTACCACATTTTATTCTTAATACAGATCACAATTAATGTGTAATGTTAAGAACCAAAGGTTGCGGAAGTAACAGCTTGCAGAACTTCCAACACTACTTACCCCACTCCCCAAAAGGAGATATCATTGTACTTACTGCCAACTCTCTAATTCTGCAGAACCAACACGGCTACAAACACCCCTTGGCACTGGCAGTCCTTGGACAATGGCAGGACAACATGCCAAAAGAATTCAGACTCTATGGAGTGGGGAATTCTAACCTTTTTCCAAAAAAAGTTTGGGGAGTTTCAAATTCTAGGAATGGCTTTTAAAAGGGGGTCAGGGATACAGTGTGTACACATACCATATTTTCTTTCAAATAACTCTTCAACTTGCTTTCTCAAGTCTGTAATGCGGGCATTCCATTTCTCTGAAAGGAAAAATAATGTTATCCCAATATAAGATATATCAAGCTTTTAATATATCAAGCTGCTGAATTCTGGATTATGCATTTCGCCTTGTTGCTCATGCATGATTATAAAACACTAAACCCTTTAAAAGTAACATCTGTATACGTTCTGAAGACAAAATTATATACATATTGTTGGACAAAAGCAGCTAAAAACTTTGTCCATAATTACTCCACGCAGGCATGGCCAAACTTGGGCCCTTCAGCAGTTTTGGGACTACAATTCCCATCATCCCTGACCACCGGTCCTGTTAGCCTAGGGATGATGGGAGTTGTAATCCCAAAACAGCTGGAGGGCTAGGTTTGGCCATGCCTGCTCTACAGCAATTCTATAGTCAGTAGCTCACTCCCATCGTGGTTTACACTGATCTGAAGCAGCTGTTGACAAATTATTTTAATTCAGAGCCTGAAAGGTTTAATTGGGAGGTTTCTTAAAAGGCCAGAGTTACAATGAGTGTGTGAAGCCGTATTGGCAGAAGCCTTAACTAAAGAGGTTATATGAAGAACCATACAGCCCCCCCATCATTACTCCAGTCCTGGTGCTGGTTGATTTAATGCATTCATGTCCCACTTCTCAAAGAAAATAGAGGCAGCAAGACACAAGGCATCCACATTCAAGCTATTGATGCACTGGAGTACTTCATGGCTTTGCACTTCTATACCATATTTACGTTAGACATCTGAAGCTTTAGGAAATCATTACGAAAGAGGAAGGCACACACAGAAGCCAGACTCATTACAGACTCCTCAAGCTACTACTGTCTCAAGACTGACAATAGTCCCTAAATAAACAGCAAACTCCAAGTATATTCATTCTGCGTAGCCCATCCTCAAACCAATCACACATTCTGCCACGATCAGCCTACTGGGCAGTTTGCTCAGATAAGCCAGTCACCAACTCTCCTTCCCTTCTTTCTCAGTTCTACTGACGTTCAAGTTCAAGTAAGCTTGAAGAAGTGCTTCTGCAAGAGTGGCCACATCCACACATAATACTAAACCATGGGCATGCTATGTGGATGGACTTCAATGATCCAAAGTAAAGAATAAGGTTTCATCTTCCCCTGAACATCCAGCAGGACAAGCCTGGTTGCATTTTGTAAAAAAACAAAACCAAAAAACAGCTTAGTGCTACATTTAAACCAGCAACCCTACTTAAACAAAACCATTGTTTTAAACAATTCATTTTCAAGCTGGCATGTTAAGGAACTTAAAACAAGCTGTTTTAAACCAGCTGGTTCAAAAGAAATACAAAGTGGAAATTGTTTAAAAGGGAAACTAAACTTGGCAGAAGTCCCTGATCATGCAGGAGGATGAGGAGAGCAGATGAACCTGACACTTTGCTCAGACGTACTGAGGCTCATCCACAGCGCATTAAATCATAGTGTTTAAGGGGCCAATGTCTCATGGAATATGCAGAATTAGCAAAATTAACAGATAAATTACATGAAAGGGACAACAAAGACTTCAAAAGAGAATGGGAACCATTTACAATATATATGAAGAGACAACATGAAGAGTTGGACTCATTGGCAGGGTTTGAGTAAGCATTCACAAATGTATATAATGTATATAATAAAAAATAGATGTAAATATCTGAGATGTATTAGGAATTAACTGGGGAAATAATGCACAGGATAAATAAACTGAAAGTAAAATGAAGTGGAAGTATGAGGGAAGTCCAGGGGAGGGGGGCAGGAAAAAAATGGAAAATTGTTAGAGAGATATTTAATAAAGGATGCATTTATTGAAAAACCAATAAAAATTATTTTTTAAAATAAAAATAAGGGGCTAATGTCTCCTCCTACACAAGTCTCCCGGATCTTCAAGGCATCCCAGGAAAACCTTCTGCTGGTACCTCCACTTTGAGAAACAAGATCTAATGGTACTGAAGGCAAGGGGTTCTGTGTTGCGGCACCATAGCAGAGCACATACGTTTTACGTGTAACATCCCAGATTCAAGCTCTGGCACTTCAAGCTTAAAGCATCTCAGATATTAAGGTTTTGGAAACAACTTGTACCTGGAGAGCTGTTGCTGGACAGCACAGAACTAGAGAGAACAGTCTCAGGCTTGGGGGGGGGGGTGGAAGGCAGTTTCATATGTTCAAATAGAGATACAGTCATATTCAGTACCAATTCAAGTGAAAGCTTGAATACACCTTAGCCAACAGGAGCCAGGCCAACAAAACTGTGAAGAAGGTTAGGAACCATTTTACTCTTAAACTTACCAAAATTGAATTCTCTAGCTTTTCTTCTTCCACAATTGGCAGCATCGTTGACTGGTTCTGTGCTCTTTGTCTTCTTATGAGGTGGTAAGTAGTCGTCATCATCTTCAGACAGAAAAATACAGATATATGCATCATGGCTGCTGTTACTATTATGCCTAAATGTCTTTCAAGGTGTTATGGTTCTAACTCAAAATTATTTGCTGTTGGAGGAGGATAATTATTCTGGAGGAAAAAATTCCACATGCATTACGCTGACTGGTCAGAGCCTGGCATCCAAATTTCTCATTTAATATTCAAATTATGCGAATGGAATTAGAATATGCACAGCAGCATTGTCCAACATGTTTTAAATGAGGCCCTTTTCTACTGTTAAGGGACACCCAACAACCCTACTGGTACCAAATATATAATGGATACCACATCAGGTCAGATGATTTTGAAAATGAAGTATCATAAAGATCATAGGATAAAGCTTCTCCCAGATCCAGTGGTTCAACAACAGCATGACATAGAGGAAATAATTAGGAGACGGTGGGGGAAGAAAGGAAAAATTGGTTTCTATTCCAGCATCAACTGCATAAATAGAAATTGCAAGCAACTGGAAAAGGTTGGGAAGATTTCAGTGGTAACTGGATAGGACTGTTACATCCAGGAATAGATAATCCTTTCCAGAAAGAAACTGCTGTATCTACAGTAAGAATGTTGAATAAGATATTTAAGGTTGCAAACATCACTTAAATGATTATTGGGGGAAGAGAGAAAGATAGATGCCAGACACCCTGATGCCAGATAAACACACTTTAGTGTCCCTAATAGTTGTCCTTTCAGCAGCCCTCCTCCATTCAAACCCAAAACCACTTCACAAATCCCCCACTTTAAAATTAGTGCAAGAGCTGCTGAAAGGGAAGCCAACAGACACCACACTGTGCAGTCACTGTCCATCAACATCAATACAAGAAAGTTGTATCACAAGACTTGCACTCTAAAGTTTTGCGCTGTTTTTAGAAAATCTAAGGCTAGTTTTCTCATCGCTGAAAATGAGAGAAAAATGCTGTTTTGAAGAGCATGGGCCCTAAAAGTGAACTAGGGTCTATAAGCTCTTGAGTTGTACTACTTCAAACAGATAGTGCAAGGCAATCAAGCATATACCCCAAAAAACCTGCCACTGCTGAACACAACTCCTTTAGCTCCTTATGCAGGAAGCGCTACCAGGCTTTTTAAATTTCCTCATATGGAGGAACTAATGGTGGGCACTTCCTGTGAAGGTCCCTTCTAGTTTGGGGTGAATGAGGCATCCAAGAGAATAGCATAGCTCCTCATTTCACCAAGGAAGGGAAGGATTATGCGGCCAGCTTTTGGAGATTTAACTCAGTCCTGTAGGCTCTTCCCCAGTTTCCTGTGGCTGTGCTTAAGACAGAATGATGAGAAATTGCAAATTAAAACCTAGAGCCACAGGAGAAATGACAGAAAAGAGAGCACGGAACTTCACACTCTACAAGGTCAAGCTGGAGGCCCCAGGAAAGAGTGAACTGCAAAGGTGTACACGTGAATCAACCTGCTGGTCAGAATAGGGTGCAGCCAGCTAGATGGTGTCTTGTTCACCCCAAACTAGAAGGAAACTTGTGTCTAATGTTTTCCTCTCAGTTTGGGGTGAAGGAGGCATACCTTAGCAACCCTGAACTTCGGGAAGCAAATCATGCTGGAGCACTCTCCTCTCAAAGGCTGCCACTGCGGAAGCCAAATAGTCCAACTTGCAATGTCCAATGAAAGTAGAGGGAAATTTCCTCATGGTGGAAATGGAAGCTGCTGCTACTTGTGGATTATGTCATGGGGTTGCCGTATTTGGGCTTTTTTTAAGGAAGACCCCCAAATTGTTGATGTTAAGTGATTTTAGGCTTTTGGAGCTGATGACATTTTTACACCCGAAAACCTGACGTATGACAAGCCTAGCATGTCATGACATTTTGCCGAGAATCACCACTGCTTTGAAAGTTCATTTTAAAAAGGAATGGCATCAGTTCAAACGGCAATTTTTATAAATTAAAAAGTTCACCCTCAACAGCTTTTGAAAAAACTTTCTACTGCTGCCCTGAAGCACAAGGTCAAATCCGCGTGACAGGGTGAGCTCCCGTTGCTCTGTCCCAGCATTTGCCAATGAAGTTCATCAATGAACTTTTTTCAAGTGAACTAGTTCATTCCAAGCACTGAGCATCATAGGCCAAGAAAATGCATACCTTGAGCCATACAGCTATTGTATGGCTTAGGTATGAATAATCAGGCCCAGGGTGTAGGCTCCTGCTGAGAGATCCATCATTTTGTGATATGTAAGGAGTTCTGCGGTCCAAGAGGAGTTCTGGGTTCTCTTATGTGAAAGATAGATGAACCAGTTCTCAGGTGCTGGAGTGTCCTGCATGGAGACAGGTAGTTTCCACCTTTTGTTTAAAATAAAGCAGTGATCTTGCTGGGGGTTACTGTTGCCTGTTAAGTCCTGATGAGCCTCGACCCAAGATGAACTAAGGAGAAGACCTTCAAGATAATGGTATATATGCATGCCCTGTAACTGAAATCGTGAAAACTCTTGAGGTCAAGCCAAGGCCCAAGGCCGTTACAGTATACTGGAAATGTATCTGCTTATAGGTAAACCTGAAGAAGCAATGGGGATAACAGTGATGTAGCAGAGATGCTACAGTATGTTCACTAAGTCCCTAAATGATGCCTGGCACAAAGAAGCTGAGAGAAGGAAAAAATGGCATCCTGACAATCCCCTTTTCACAACCTCTTTCTGCTCTACCTGAGGTAGGAGGAATGTTTTTCCTTCACTCCTCAGTTGTTTGCGAGTGCGTTTGAGCCTATGATAGTGGTAGTCATTGATAGGACTGCGCATGGGGAGATGGGAGGGGAGAGACTCCAATTGTTCTGGATAAGAATGAATCAGTACATGGTGGAGGCCCACAGTGGGAGGCTCTGTAGTAGCTACAGCAGAGACTTGATTGGCTTAGTCTGCTTCCCCATTCTGACATATGGAATTCCTTTCTTTTTATGTGGATGTCACTATTTGCTTTCCCAAGGGGGCCATAATGAAGGAAGAAAAGGCAATAAAATAAAGGAGAGCAATAAAAGATTATTAAAAAGAAACAACAAACTGGAGCAGCAGACTAGGAAGAGGAAGGGGAAAGGGAAAGGGTCAGGGGGAAAACTAGCAGTTCACAGGCAAGGTAAATCAGAGGAGGAGCCGAGAGGAAAGGCTATATTGAGCAAAGGCACAGAATCAATTGAGCGAGGAACCTTTAGGCCTGGGCTCAGTTTCAAAAGGAATTAACCCACTCTACCGGATGCCTCCTTCACCCCAAACTGAGAAATATGACTACTGCTTCACTGTTATGACATAAGGAACACCTCACTACACAGGCAAGAGGAATAGCAATTCATAATCTAGAAGCACTATTGGAAGCTTTATCAACAACCCTTTAACAGATTAACCCAAAAACTAACTTACTAGTAGCAAGGTCTAGAAGTTGCAAAATCTAGACAGGAAACCAAGCCCTCCTAATGTAAATATTCCATTCTAGTAATTCATCTCATTTGCTCTACTTCCTATTTTGAGGTGTAGCATAGTGTCTGTTATAGACTGGTGTGTTTAAAAACTAACACACACAAGAGGCTATACACAAGAGGAGATTTACAAAAGAAGCAAAGGGGGTGGGGAGAGGAGAAAGATTTAACACAAAAGATTTGCTTAAGGAATATACAGCACTCAGACCTTTGAGGCTAGGTATTCAGATTCACAATTTACTTTCTACTTTCCAAACCAATCACGGGGTTTGTCAGAATATATTGCCTATCCGTCCTCCACCTTACAAGTTTTGCAAGACCCAAATGATCCTAGGGATAACAGGCAAGCAACACTTTTCAGTTGCTGTATTCCCTAAACAAACTGATCCTCCTTAAGGTCTCCTACCACTCCGGAGAACTCCCACATCCATAATATTTTCCCAACAAAGTGTATCAAAATAAAACAGTCTGCCCAAACTTCTTGTTTATTTCCTCTGAAAAGCAAAACAAAAAACCCAGCTAATTGAATAATTTGGTTTGTTTTCACATGCACTCTTAATACAGACACCTCTAAGAGACGCCTTTAAAAATGTTGACAACTTGTTTTCAATCATTTAATGTCTATCTTGCCCAGCAAATGTTATCTTACAGTACGAGAAAGGCTTTGGGGGGGTATATAGAGGAGATGCGCACAACGCCACATGACTGAGATTCTTCTGAAACAAGTGAGCAAAATAGTATTAGCTGAGAAAATGGCCAACCTTCAATGGTCACTTCCACTTCAGGATCCTCACTTGTTTCAGAAGTGGCATGTTGAGAAGAATCTGAAAAAAGCAGAACAAAAAACCAAGTCTGAACGGCGCGGGAACTGGAAGAGCGGTTTTACTCCAGAATGGCGAATCAACAAGTGTGTGGTGCACTATGAATAAGAGACTCACAAACACAGAGGCCAAAATACTTTATCACAAGCCTCAAGTCCTATGGGATGTTGCCAAGGAAATGGAGATTTCTAAGTGCTAAGCTACAGGTGCAGCAGCTGCTGAGAGTCGCCTTCTCCTAGGTTCACTTATCTTTTCATTGTCAAACATTTTCTCACTCATTGCTGAAGATACTATGTTTACAAGTCTCTCTTCTTTCACACAACACAATTAAAACAATATATATGTGTACAAATTGAAAATGTTACAATACATTAGTATTTGTAAAACGTTGTGTAATAAAACACAGTCAAAAGTTTTCATCGATGGAATATCTCCTACAATTGGCAAAATGGATCCAAATAAGCAAGTGGAACATCTTGTTTTCACGTTAACTCCAGACGTTTATAGCAACCAACTTTTCACAAAGCGACGATATCTCAGTGAGAGGTTGGATTTCCTGCCAACGTAAATGGAATTTTGGCTGGCGTGGGACCACCAATGTGGAGTGCATCCTAAAACATGCTGCTCTTAGTGCCTTTTTGCCCCCATTGCCAAAGTAAGGAAGCACATCAAATCATGAGCAACCAGAAGGACAACTCTTAAGACACTTGAAATTGCTGACAGGAGCAGAAGGTTCCAGTGTATTGAGCCCCACCAGCAGCTGCAATCCTACTGGTTTGACCAACACATTAAGTTGCTTTGTCAACTTCTGAATTCCCATAATAAAAGCACAAATGAGTCTTCTGGCAATAGCTTCATGCAGGTCTCTATTTCCATCACATCCTTTGGAACATTCTTCCTCAAATTTGAAAAAAAAGGTTCAACTGTTAATTCAGAGTAAATGACACGGAGCAGGAAGAGGACTGGATTCAAAAGCTCATTAGCCCAAAAAGATAAAGATATTTTGAGAGATCCATAGCAGCAATTTGCCAGTGCTGTCCTCTGGATGCGTTTACAGGCAACATAACTGAGTACACCACTTTCACTACTAGCCCAATAGATGGATCTAGACGATCGTAACTAATGAAGATACTGAAAAATTGTGTGAGCAGGCATAGCTGGCTGATTCCAAGGTATCTAAGAACAAGTTCAGAGACAGCCACTTGTCTGGTCGCTCATGGATAGGAAGACACTCCTGCAGCAACCTAACAGGAAGTTTGTGAAACAGCTTTCTAACCAGTTCTCTCTCAGGCCATAAATTTTATATAAATTGTTAAAATAGGGATGTGTAAAGCAGATAGGCAGGTTAGCAAACAGGTTTATGAACTTTAGCAAGGCAGTGTTAAGAGGATATTTTTTCAAGTTACCCTATCAAATCTAATTCTACTGGCCTTCAGTTAAGCATCATTTTACAGAAATTATACCACAATGTACCTTATAGAAAGTTCTCTGATAGGTGTAGGGTAGTTCACATCAGAGATATTTGCATCCAGCTTTCAGTTCCAGCTTCTGAAGTGCTGAAATAATTCTGTACTAGTGATACACTAATCAATGTGTTATTTTGCTACTTTAGTTCTACTTTCTTCACACAACATAGTTCTTATAGAAGTGATTGTACTTGGATTTTCTTTTCTAAGTAACCACAGTGTACAGTGGAAGATACTAATCCATGAATCCATCCAGTTGACCAAAAATCTCTCTTCCATGGGATCATCTGTACTGATAACATCAAGTCAAGGGTCAAAAGCTGGCAAGGAAGCAATCTCCACGTGTATAACACATGTCCAAAAGTATTCATGATACAAAAGAGATCATACAAGAGAAAGGTTTGTGAGTTGTATTCAAGGTTAGTCTTACTCTGAGGAGACCTTTGTTGGATCCAACTCCTTGACAATAACATTCTACTTATATCCCTTAAGACACGGATTCCTTTAACAGTCTCTAAAAACGCACACACCTTCAAAAGGTTTTCTATAATGTTTCCATTTCACCAGTTAAACTGCCCATCTCTCACAGACTTCAGAAACACTTTTTTAAAGCATATTGCATCTGCAGTTTTTCTTTGCAGATGCCGAGCAGGTTAAAAAAATAATAATCAAGTTTGCAGATGGAGTCCAGCAAAACATTTTTTAAAAAACGTACAACCCTGGAAGGAATAGTGCAGCGTCTTCAGCTATCCAAAATGTGATTAGGAAACACGTAACACTTTAAAATAACATTAAACAAAACAGAACGAACCATTAGTTTGAGCAGAGGCATCATACTCCAACAAGAAAAGCACTTCCAGTGGTATTTCCAGGTTCAGTAAGGATAGGTTGAGCTAGAAACTAGTTGATAAGTTGGCAATTTAATTTCCTCGTGTTTCACAAGGAAATAAAGGCACTCCCACCTCATCCATATATCCACTAAATCCAAGCTTCACAAAGCCACACCCCAGTACAGAGCTGATTCAATGACAGTTCAAAAATAGCGGAATATTTTTCTGAGGTGAAGTTGTGGCCAAGCAATTCAGAACTGTTGGAGGTCAGGCAGAACTGATATTCAGGCCTATTTAGAGTGGCTCTGCCAAAACTACAAAATTCAAATCAACAGTGTATTTAGCATTTCCTTTTGAAAGGACAGATTCACATTCTCAGGGAGGCAGTGGATCTCCATAAGATTTGAGGCAGGTAACTTACTCAACAAACATTCCAACTAGGAGCAGCATGAACTGAAGGGCTTTGCACACTGTTTTTCACTACACATTGACATATTCAGGATGTAAACAAATGCATGTTCTGTTGCACCAAACCTTGCATTGCTAGACCCACATAATTCGTCCCCTTCAAAAGTAACCAAAAGAGGGGCTTAGAAATCACAAGTTTCGAGGTCACTGTAAGTCTAGAGCTTTAAGTCACTGTCTTACTTTCAAAAACAAACGCTGTCCTCATGCTTTCAAGCATATCACATTGGGTAATGCTGTTACTCACTCAGACCTCCTAAGGAAAAGTGTGATATATAGCAAAAGCCACCACAGTCATGAAGAAGGCAGTAGGATGCTAACTTTATTAGCTCTTTTTCAACAGCTTCTATAGCTCACTGGAAGGTGTGGAAGGAAAGAGAAGGAGATGGGGGTCATCTTGCAAAGGCTTCTCAATAGTTGTCCACAATAAACATGCAGGATCACAACTCAAGGGGATGAAAATAAAAATACAACCATGTAGAATATGGAAAAAAGAATGCAAGACACGAACACAATGGACATGTTTGCATTAAGTGTTCTTTTAATAATTATTTTTTTAAAAAAACTTTCCAGAGTTTTTAATTTTTTTTAAATTTACATATCTCTAACCTTCTACTGGCAATTCCACATCTGTTCCTTCACTGCAATCGGAACCCTGGTTGCTTCCTTTAGACAAATATAAACACACCATCATAAGAATAAGGAGGGCACTAGTCAACACTTGAAATTTCAGAATTAGTATCCCAAGGAACGGAGTAGAGATTTTATGGACCAGTGAACCTGGCCCATATTGCACCATCATCTCAAGCAGGATCATTTCAAAAAAGAGTCTGTGTCAACAATCAATCTCTGCTCCCATTTTCTTTCACATAAAACCAAAGGTTTTTTTTGGCAGAGTGCACTCCTCGCAAAAGGCAAACACAATTAGGCCATCTATAGTTCAGAAGAGCCTTGCTGAAAACATAGACACAATTTGGATAGCACAATGTTTGAAAACATGTTGGGAGGGGCGCATAAATATGAAGCTGGAACAAAATTCTTCCAAGTTCTGCCATAAAGCCTTCAATACTTTCCCTTCATAATTCATAACTGTTCTCCCTCCTGACTCAACAACAACAACATTTAATGGAAAATGTGGCAAAATAAGTCTGATCAAAATGTTATTTGACACAATTTTTATCTGAGATTTCATTTTTATAGGAATAGAAAGGCCTTTCTGTATTTTCCATAGAAAACATAAGCTTACAGGGTCTGAATGGCCAACAACAGTAAATTCACAGTATTTCTAGGTAGACAAAAGTCCCCTGAATGAAAGTCAAACAAGAGTAGGGTCAGGGTAGAATTACAGCTCTCTTTCACGAAACGAAGGGGGGGCGGGAATCAAGCCACTTATTGAAACCAATATTGGAGAACAGTACTGTTGGCAGGCAGAACATGGCTACTGAGGTATCAATGCTGTTGTGAGAAATAGCACTGTGATGATGAACAAGTGAATTGCTATACCTGTGTAAGACTTTGCCATGGCGATTTTCTCATCAATCGCCGAAGTTTCTGAAGGACCTGCTTTGATAAACAAAGACAGCCATAAAAAAAATCACTTCCCAAGATTTTCCCGTCCCATTACAAGAGCATGCTCAGCTGAATAAAGAAACCGTAGAAACAAAATAGGAATTGTTTCATATAATCACAGCATGGAGGAGAATTCCAAGGGTCATCTAGCTCTTTGTTGTGAAACAAGCAGCAACTCAATTCGCACATCCGCCAAAACATGGCTTTAGTTAACACTAAGGCAAGCCGCAGTTTAGGGCAGCTTGTCTGGAGATGGAGCAACATACTACGGTCGAACAATTCAACACTCCAAAGCATAGTAGCACAAACAATGACTTTTCAGCCCACTTCAAATTACAGCTTTTGATTTGGGTTAGATAGCTGCTCACAAGTCAGTGTTCACCAGACATCAAAGCAAACCAATTACGCTTGGATGGTTTGGTATGGTATCTGAACTGAGCTAAAGTGAGTCTCAAATATTCCCTTTTTGCCAAGTCCCACCTATCCCTTCAAAACCCTCCATTTTCTATCAAGCGAAGCACACGATTCTTCCAGTTCATCAGTTTACAAATCCAGCCAACACAAAACTTCAGTTCTCAATTTCCTGTCTTATCAGTGTCCCATCCATTAAAGTAGCAACCAGTTATGGTGCAGCAGGAAGGCCACATAATGGCATTCCCCCAGAATCTGTCCCTACCAAACAGACCAATACTGAGAAAAGAGATCATACACTTTTTTTCTGAAAACAATCTTAAGCAAAAACTATGATTTACCCACCATCCATTTTCTGTATTTACCAACAGTGCTTTACATCTTCAACCAACTCACAGACCCCTAACAAATCTCATCAACAAAGAAAGCAAACACCTTAAGCACAAGCCAGCAACATGCTCCAACACTGCCAGCGTTGCAGTCCCACTCTCAAGTTTGCTGACTCACTCTCACATGCTTAACTAGTTGCAGGTGCAGAGCAAAAAGACCCAGAATTAACCAGCACACCTAACTTAACCCTTTCTTGTTTTTTCTCTCTGCATGCATAAACCCTTGCACATTAACAGAATAAGGGATATTTTTCTGCTGTGCTGTTGGTCCAGAGCCATCTCAATCTATTTCTGCACCTGCTAAGTTTCTGCCAGTCAGAAAGCCGTCAAAGGCAGCTCTCCCAACCTTGAGAGTCTTTGTCTTCTCAGATTACAAGCCTGATGGCAGGGCCCGTCTTTTTTATTATTATTATTGATGTGAACCCCTTTGAGAGACAACATGTGTCTGGAAAGTGGGATAAAAATACAGTGAATGATAAATATTCTGAATTATTCTAACTAATAATTGGGACATATCAGAAGCTTATCTGAAAAGCTTATAAACTCTCAATTGAACCAATTCAGAGAAAGAAGAGAGTTAAATAGGGAAAGAACATCTGATAAAAAAAAAAAAAAAAGCAAGGGATCATGACTCTTCTCTTTTTCTCCACTGAAACATTAAGGGATCATGAGAACACTCACAAGGTTGTTACCTCTGTAGAATTGGGTGAAAGTGGCCTTCATATTAAACAATTTGGAATTCCTTGCCCATGAAAGACTCCTTTACATATTCCTTTTTAATAAGGAAAATTAATAGTCATGTCATAATAACTCTTGCAAAGTACTGACCCTCCCCTTTCTACTACCTTTTAAAGAGAGAGAACACACAAAGCACACAACACCTGCCCTAGCTGGAAAGAGACAGGCAGGATTACCACAACTGCGTGCACCAGAATTAAAAGCTTCAAAGGAGATTCAGTAGGGACAACACTACAGTACTCTGCTCTTTTCCAACAAGCTAGAGAATGTAGTATCAACAAGATGTGGCAGGGGAGAGGAGCCAATGCTGAGGAAGGCTTTGCAAGTCCAGTGATCTCTTGGTTGCAGAAACAGAGCCACAGGTGGCTCTGCAAGGAAAATCAGAGCACTGCCACATCCTCTATATTCAAATTTATATGCCACTAATCTGTAAGAGCAACAACATTCAACTTTCTGGCACCGATCCGCTGTGTTTCATTGACTTGCGATGCCAGCACTAGGCGACGGGTCACTAGGCGACATTAAGCTAGTATCCAGTTAATCATGCTATTCTCAAAATCCATCTCCCTGGACAGTGGGTGTCACAAATGGGCCATTAAAACAGGGAAAGTGAAGTCACAAAGGAGCTCACAAGAAGTAGGTTGCGGGGCTGACCATATTCCATTCACCATTTCAAGTTAAATCCCAAAATCATTGTTAGTTTTCCTTCTGCACTACCAATAAGCCAACAGAAAAAGAAATATTGAAGGTTTTTGTTTCTTTTAGTAATGGCAGCTAGAAGACAAATGTGAATTGGGAAGGGGAACATTTCATTATATTATTGCCCAATTTCCTTTTATGACAGAATTCAAACTGTTGTACGTAGGGCTTCCAGTCTCCCATTAAAGCAATCCCCAAATGGAGACTTGCTTAGCACAAGTAAGATCATAACATCATGTGCCTTTAGACCATAGTCCTGGAAGACATACAACATTTGTTAGAGGCTAGGATCAAGAAGAAACCTACTTAACAGTAAGCTTTGACTATGACAGAGGCTTTTCAGGAAATTTGCATATAGTGACAGGGAAAAAATATGCACACTCCACTCGTCTTTAGTAGTACAGCAAGCTAGACCATTTCTATTAAACCATACACATAAGCTATGTGCACAAGGGTTTACATCAAATATATACTTGACAATGCCTTGCTAAAAGAAAAGATATTTAGAAGTACTGAATGTGGCTGTTTTGCTTTTTTGTACCTCATAACACTGGCAATGTTAACACAGCCACTTTTTTAAAGCCTTCAACACAAAATGGGCCAATGTACAGGTTAATTTCATTCTTTGTAACAATAGTCAGTATTCAGTGTGATGAACCAGTGACAGAGTTGTCATAAATATAAGCACTCATAAAGAATAAGAATAATCTTCTGTAGCCTGAAATATCAAGGCAGGTGAACAACTGCACACCCTCCCCTCCCTCAAAAGTACCCATTTGCAACACTGAAATCCAAGCTTGTTTTCCTGTAATACAGGTTAGGATATGGATAAGACACTTATTGTACAGACCTATATAAATTATTTAATTTATTCCAGCACCTAGAAAACGTTTGCCAAGGCCTTGAGAGATGACGGAAGGAGAGAGAGAGGGAGAGAGAGAGAACAAGGGAGGGAAAAGCACAGACAATGGCAGAACAAGGACCAAAAGCAGCAGGAAAAAAGAGCAGGAGCCATGCATAAGAATCCCCTGACCAAAGGAAAACCCTGCCTCAAATAATTTAAGTTCACATTAGAACCAGGGCCCTTTCTGATTGTTCTGTCTCCTCCAATAGCCTCCACTTTCACTTGCCTTTCCACCAGTATATTTTAACATTCATGATTTCAGCCTGCACAGTAAAAGTCTTACACTCAATGTTACCTGGAATGTTAAACTGATAATAGTCGGGATCCTCAGATTCTTCTTTAACTGTTACCATCTCAAGCCCTGAAGAAGAACAAGTGTCAGCCATTTACATTGGCAATTAGGCTTCCAAAGCAAAAAAAAAAACCCTCTTCTGAAGCCTCAAGAAAACCAAAACATTTTGAGCGAAAGCTTGTTGATTTTAATTAATTTTATAATGAATGTTTTTAGAATGTTGGATTATTTTGATTGTTGTTAGCTGCCCTGAGCCCAGCTTCGGCTGGGGAGGGCGGGATATAAATAAAATTTATTAATTTATTATTAGTATTGTTACAGTGTGAGGGATTCCAGGTTTCTTGTGCATCAAGTAACCTTTCATTCAGTTCAAACATTACAAAAGTAGAAAATCATACTCCCTCCCCCTTGCAGTGTCCAAACTCGCTTCAAGGTGTGCTCAAGCAATAAATCGCAATGAGAGCACACATCCACTTTATGCCCCATGTCCATTATTAATAGCTATGCAACTGTGGGGTAGATAAGACAAGGCTGAAGAAAGAAAGATTAAAGAAAAAGACAAGAGTTGTCCTGCTTTATCAAATAAAGGCCCATTTTGTCTGGCGTTTAGTTTTCAACCATGGCAGGCATCCTCACGTAAAGAAACAATGACAGAGTTACGAGTGCACACAAGTTCATTCAATACAACTAGGAGTTGTGGATTGAATCGTGCACATCCTTTCCATTCCCCACTTCCCCCAACAGCAGCTTACTGGGAATCTCTGGAAGCCCACGAGCAGGTCTATTAGGGATGGTAATAATTTCCACTGGATTTGGGTACTTGGTGGACAAGGCCTTACCTGGATTAAGGCCTTGTCCACCAAGCACCCGAATCCAATGGAAATTCCCCATGCAGCAATACTCCCCATTGCTGCCATGCAAAGCCAGACCACATCTTTTTAAAAGCACCCAATTATCAGTGGTTCTTTTGCATGTTATACTAGAGCAGAGAGACAGTTCCTTTCTAATTAGATATGCTATATCCTTGTATTTTTATGCTGTGGACTGCCCTGAAATCTACTAAGTAAGTAAGTAAGTATGTATGTATGTATGTATGTACGGAAGTAATCAGATATACTACAAGCAGTCACGTTATTAATGCTTACCGAGATCCACTAAGCACATACAGTGGCATCTTGTTTCTCGAACTTAATCTGTTCCGGTAGGCCATTCGACTACCGAAACAATTTGAAAACCAAGGCACAGCTTCTGATTGGCTGCAGGAGCTTCCTGCACTCAAGCAGAAGCCACGTCAGAGGTTTGGCTTCCAAAAAACAGTCGCAAACCGGAACACTTCCTGCCAGGTTTGCAGCTTTCAGGTGCTGCTTTGTTCGGCAGCTAAGCCATTCGAGAACCAAGGTTCTACTGTGCATTCAAATGCTGATGGGATCATTCAAGTGGAATGGGTCTTAAAGTGGGATGCATACGGCCAGGGGAGAAGGCACAGGGCAAGTTCACTAAGTTCTAGCTTCCATATTACCATGAAATAATAATAACGTAAATATGTATATTAAGTGATGTATATATACCACAATCCCCTATTGCTCAAGAGACAAATATTAACAAGGAAGTAAGAGATACATACCAGAATCTTCACTGGGCTCAGTCTTCACCTGGATGGCAGGGCAGCTAGATGAATGCATGAAAAAAAGAGTATGTTAATGCAAACCGTGAATGCAATAACAAACATCCTATGGATCGGTCTTTAACTGAGTTAGACCGCTGGCCCATCTAACCTGGTACTAGCCCATGAAACTGGCAGGAGCTGTCCAGGGTGTCGGGTAGGGTCCTTTCCAGCCCTGCTATCCAACAGCCTTTTAAATGAAGATGCTCTCCCTGTTTGAACCTTCTGCATGTAAAGCAGGTGCTTTTTCATTAAACTCTTGCCCTTCTCTGTTGCCCTGGAAGCGATGTAGATGTGCCAAATGATATCCCAAACCTGTGCTTATACCAGAGCTATGCAACATGGAGGTGAAATCTTAAAAAACCAGAGAACATTTTACGTTAGGCTCCTAGGGCTAGGAGACACACTGGGCTGTTTTCACATTTTTCCTCACAACTACAAGGGCTGGAAACTTCTTTTCTGGTTTGAAATGGCAGGTGTGGTTCTTACAAAGGTCAAAAGGGCCCCATCAGCCAAGACAGACAACTGGATGGATGAGAAGGTCATCACACATATTTTTGTCTGGCATCAACTCAGATGGCCTTTTGGCACCAAATACTCTTAGGCTTTTAACAAGATTGATCCTGATGATGAGACTGATTTCTTGTATTTTAGGATTTTTAAAATTATCTAAGTGTGCTTACAAAGGATGCTGTCAGCAGCCTGGCAAACTATGATGATGGGGAAATGAGTATTTTAAATGAAAGACGAATATTCAAAACCGTATTTTGTGGTTGAAAGATGTCCTTTCTGAATTATTATTTTTGCACCAACAGGAGAAAAGCTGTTGGAAAAAAGCAACAACCACAGAAAAGCACAAAAAATATTCTACCTTCCACCTGGGGATGTTACTGTGTGAGAGGAATCTGTCATCCGAGGTGCTGCAAGGAATAAAATGTTATCTGTTAATGTGGTGCTTATATTTCACACCCAATTATATAATTCTAGAGTAAGGTTAAACTAGTATCACTTGGACTCCACATTTTCACTTATTTATTTCAAGCTACTTTTAGCCTACTCTTCATCCCAAAGAATCTAAGCACAAGGTACAAAACTAAAATGCAGCAAATCACAGCACCGGCAGCATTTGGTTGTGTAAAGGAATAGCATCTGTGATGATAATAATAATAATAATAATAATAATAATAATAATAATAATAATAATAGGAACTGGTTGAAAATACTCTCCCCTAGAAAGATTAATACTACTAGTGGCATAACACCAGTATCATAACTCAAGGTCACAGCAGGTCCTGAATCTGGGACCAAAGGTCTCACAAAAATTCAGCCAGGCCCTGCAAACTACAGAGAGAGAAAGAGAAAAGTCAGTCACACCAGCAAAGAAAGTCTCTAACAGTTACAGGCCAGAGTGATTCAGAAAATACCTGTTGATGCCTATATGGGCTTCTGAGTTAGGCTTGCTTGCTGGTCAGATCAATTAACAGATTGATCTCTACCTAACCCTAATGTAACAAAAGCCAGATTTGACAAGCAGTGACTGGCTGTGCAAGCAAAAGGGGTCTGTGACTGCCCCAAAATATTTTAAAAATAACATTTTTAAACTGACCACTCCTGCAGGTCCCCTGCTACGATCTGTGGTGTTAAATGGTTTGTGAGAATGAGACAGACACACAGCAAATTTGTCCTCTCCATTAACAAGAAAATGGCCATGCCAAATTATACCCTTTGGCCCCACCCACTTTTATGATGCAATCCTTGGAAGATTGGTGATGTGTCAACGTAACCCTCAGTACAAAAAGGGTTAGTCATCCCCTGGCTTGCCAAAATGTGCAAATCGGGCCATTGTATCAAATGAAATTTCCAGTGTTTTTATTTAGATCAGACAAGTGTCTACTCACCTAGATGTTTCTTTGGCTCGAGGAAGGGCCTATTAAAAAGAAAGTGTTCTGTTATTTTAAAAGCACAGCTAAAAAGAGCTACTAGCATTTAAAAGTATTCAAAGCATTTTGTATACAGTGGTACCTCCGGTTGCGGACAGGATCTGTTCTGGAGCTCCGATCAGATCCCAAGGTTTCCACAACCAGAGGGACCGCTTCTGCGCACACATGTGCAGCGGTAGAGCGCTTCTGCGCATGCATGCGTGGCAAAAACCCGGAAATATACTTCCGGGTTTGCCACTTACATATCCCGACGTTTACGTAAGCGGAGGGATACGTAAGCGGAGGTACGACTGTATATGCAATCCTTACTGCCACCCTGAAAACAGCTCAGTGTTATTATGCCCATTTCAGACAACAGATGAACTGCCCTGAGACCTCTGGGTATAAGGCATTATATAAATTCAAATAATAATAAATAATAATAATAATAATAATAATGGCATAGCAAAGGAAATGTCTGAACGAGAGATTTTCAAGTTCACAACTCAGCAGCAACACTGCTCCACTAAATACCACCCACTTCCAATATAATTATAGATAAACTTAAGGATAGACAGAAAGATTTATACGCAATTATAATTTAACTGAAGGGACGCAGGTGGCGCTGTGGGTAAAAGCCTCAGCGCCTAGGGCTTGCCGATCAAAAGGTCGGCGGTTCGAATCCCCGCGGCGGGGTGCGCTCCCGTTGCTCGGTCCCAGCGCCTGCCAACCTAGCAGTTCGAAAGCACCCCCGGGTGCAAGTAGATAAATAGGGACCGCTTACTGGCGGGAAGGTAAACGGCGTTTCCGTGTGCTGCGCTGGCTCGCCAGATGCAGCTTTGTCACGCTGGCCACGTGACCAGGAAGTGTCTCCGGACAGCGCTGGCCCCCGGCCTCTTAAATGAGATGGGCGCACAACCCTAGAGTCTGTCAAGACTGGCCCGTACGGGCAGGGGTACCTTTACCTTTACCTTTATAATTTAACTGAACAAACTGCTCCAAGAAAAGGAGGTGCTAGCACACCTTTTGATGACAAATGAGATTCCAGATTTGTTTTCCAGAATCCACTTCAGTGTTGTAACATCATAGTTGGTGGGATGCTTAAATGCAAGTCCTTCTGGGAGACCATGCACCATCACAGCAGATGGGTCCCTCTGAATCTTATCGTACGGCACAGGAACTACAGTTGACTTTCCTAAAGCTTTGCCTGGATGGAGGAAAGCAATCTTTATCAATAAGATACCAAAACTATGGCAATTATGCCCCTTCCTGCACAGCAACATGCATTCTTCCTTTGTCTTTCCCCTCCTCCACCCATTTTTTTGCCTCAGTCTTGTAAGCTCAAAATCATTTCTCCAAGCAAAATATGTCTGTAATAGATAGTACTCCTGAAGCAGGAAAAAAGGAGGGCAGGAGTGCTTCCTTCATAATTTCCACAAAACTGGGACCTTGTAGCAACAATCTGACTTTAACAGTAACTGAATGTAGGTTGATTATTAGACAATGATGATGAATTATTAGAAAAACAGAACTTTTCAGAACCTGTCTATAAACTGTTAAATATTAATATTTGCTAAGCATTTCAATTCTGACAAGCGCAGCATGTCAGACTTACTGGTCCTACAATAGCCAAGAGAGAACTTCTGGATATAGACACTGAAAACAATTAACATCCCATGGCCTCAGTAAATGAAGCCTTTCTGAATATTTTAGTCCTCCAACACAGGTCATCACCACATCAGCTACACTGGTCCTTACTGTAACAATGTTCTTCAGTGGAAAATACTACCCAGAACTGCAAGACACAGTAATGGACGCTAGCATGGTGACATCTTACGAAAGAAATTTGAACAAGAAAACTTGAACCAGAGCAAACATGTGTGAAGTGCTGCTTCTCACACACACAGTGCATTTTATTTACATAGTGCTTTATAAAACTGCTATTACTATCCCGTTCCTAAAGGAATAAAGCAGCTATGGGTTTATCTTCCTAAGACTAGTTTCGCATCTATGAAATTGGTGGAAATGCCTATCCAACAAGGTAGGATTCAGCATCTTCGTGGTCTTATTGCCTTCCTCAAGGAGAGACCCATTTGCATCCCAGCTCAGGAGTAAGGACATCACAATTCTATTATGACAACTTTCCACTCAATATTTTCTTCTTCTTCTCCCCTGAACCCCTAGAACCAGGAATGGAAGAGGATCCACAAACCAGCTTTAACCCTCTTTTTAGTGGCTTCAACATTTGTAAGCTAAAGCTTATACCATTATTCTAAATAAAACAAAAATATTTACCATAACAGATGCAGAAATAATCCTCAACGGATTTCCTGAGGGCTTCCATTTCCACAATATCCACAGTCATCCTATTATCTAGGGATGTTGACTTTATTTTCTGTAGTTCTGCAGCCTTTGCCTCTTCATTAACACCTGCAAAACAGAAAGTATGAAATCCAACACCAAGTCACCTTTTGAATGCTAAACTGCAACGATATATGGGCCTAACCACAAGTTAAGATATTTCAATACAGCAGAAGACCATGCAGAGGACAGTCTTGTCAACTGTTGCACCAACATTGAATTCCCTCTAAGATAGTGTGCCTAGCTTTCTCTACATTCCCTTTTGGGCAGCTGCACAAATATGCATTATTCTGGAATGGTTTTGGACTTTTGTGGTATACACAGATGTTTATATGATGCAAATGATGCCCCAAAACATTGATTTGCATTAACTGTTGCCGTCTTCATGAACTGTGCAGTCGTTTTTCTATTTTGTAATCATTTCAAATACATCAGGGGTGGCCAACTCTCAAGAGACTGCGATCTACTTTCAGAATTAAAAACTGGCAGTGATCTACCCCCATTTTGGGGGGGTTCAGCTCAAAGTTGTTGAGCTTTTTTCAAGGAGAAAAGCCACGTTTTTGGGGCGTCAGCTCACAGCTGTTGAACTTTCTCTTAGGGAGGAGAAAAGCCCCATTTTTAGGGGTTTAAGAAAACTTTTTGGGGGGTGGAGTTCCATGGGTGTGGCCCAAAGGAAAGTCGAGTAATACATTTGGCACCAGCTTGGATGCTGGAGTTGCCAGAGGTGGCATACAAGACACCATCCAACCATCTTCAGCACTCCACTCCAAATCTGTGTAGGATTACGCTTTTCCCAAAGGAGACACTTAAATGATTTGAGGAAAAAACTGCAATTTAAACTTACAGTACTTTACAAAATCCTTTTGAAAATCTTTTCTCGTATTAACGAAGGCTCTTCCTCTCTCAGTCCCCACCACAAACACATCTGTTTCATACACGGCAATGCAGGCAACTTCTGCCTTAGACTTGGCAAGCTCCTTGCACTGTAAAAGGAAAAAGTTGCTGCTTAGAATTGCAGTAACAAGTGGCACAGCTGTATCATAATTATTTAATTATTAAAAAAGACGAGGAAGATGGGTTTGAAAGACTGTCGAGTTACACCTTCTACCACTTGCAAGATAAAATAACAATCAGATGACCAGGCATGCATGAAGATACCTAAAGAAATGTTACAAGCAGAAGATACATTACAGTAAATACCAGTATCATCATACCATTGACTCAAGGGCTGACATGAGAAATGTAACAACCATTCTGCTTTCAGATGAATCCTCTTCATGGCTAGATGCTGCTGCCATAGCTGCTTGAGCCATTTTTGCTATGAAAAAAATGAGAAAAGAACACAGTGAATCCAAATTATATAGTAGGCATACACATAATGAATTATTTACCCCTTTGCATAGTGTGGAATACAAAGTCAAGAGCAATAACTGATAACCAAACTACTGAGCAACCAGATTTCCCAGTTGCTCACTATGGGATGGCTGTAGAAGGTGAAGATGCTCCCTTTCCGCCTACCCTGATATCTTGCATTTGCCAGAACTCCCTTCACATCTCTCTGCTAGAAAATTCTCCAGAATATTCTCCACAAACTGTAAATTCTAATGTAAGAACCAGTTTTACAACCCACATTTTAAAAATCTAGTAAATAGTAAGTCAAATGTGATACTGGCAGTGTAAGTAATGAATAATGGTTACATTACTGGGCATTGTGTCATTCACCATTGGCAGTTCTGAAATGTGAGATAGTAATTTGCATTTCTGATGTTATGTAACTTGTCACTACTGATTATTTATGTTTTATTTTCTGGAAATAATAGCATTTATTTTAAACTTTATATTGATTTTATTAGTGTTGCACATAAATGCTATACCATGTAGATATGCTTATTAAAGAATGTACTCATGTAGCAGACCTGAGGTTTTTTAATATTCCTTTTACTTTAAAAGCTACATTTCATACATACACACCATAATTCGAATTCAAAATTGATGTTAAATATTCGGTTAGTGGCAGGTTTAGTGATTAACGTGAGTCATTCACTTTGAATTTTCAATTTCAAATTGGGTACAAAAAATCAAAGACTGTGAATTCACTGCATAAAAGTATCTCTACAGTTTTTGGTTGCCATCTGAACAAGTTTACTCATGAATAAACATGTACCGTATTTTTCGCTCTGTAAGACACACCAGACCATAAGACGCACCTAGTTTTTGGAGGAGGAAAACAAGAAAAAAAATATTCTGAATCTCAGAAGCCAGAACAAGAAGAGGGATTGCTGCTTTCGCTGCGCAGTGATCTCTCTTGCTGTTCTGGCTTCTGGGATATTCGCTCCATAAGACGCACACACATTTCCCCTTACTTTTTAGGAGGGAAAAAGTGAGTCTTATAGAGCAAAAAATACGGTATATTAACTAATTATATCATTTTCAATGCATGAAAATGAATATTCTCCTATTTTAAATGAAAATTCTCTAATATTCTCATTAATCGAAAATATTTTCCAAAAGATTATTCTCGAGAATTTAACATCACTATCACAGCCTAACCTAACATGCAGTCTGCTGAGAGGATAACACGAGCAGAGGGAAGAGATCCATGTACCTTGCTCAGATTTCTTTGGAGTAAGGGCAGAATAAAAATATACAAAAATAAACATGGGCTCTCTCCCTTCTGCATCATTCAACCCTAGTAGCACTCTCCTGCACTTTATTTACACAAATATGGCTGGACACTGTGCACTCTTAAATCTGGCCATATATGAGCACCTCCAAATGCCCAAAGAGGAGCTCACAACTCCCTCCCGCCTCCATCTTAAGGACTTATTTTATGCAAACTTTTTTTATAAAAAGAACTAAGTTTTACAAATCCTGACCTATTTCATGGCTCAACTGCCACTATCAAATGCAGTCTTGTATAGCAATAAGGATGTAAAGATAATAATGATCAGCAAAGATCATAATGAGAGTTCATTTTTTTAAAAGGATTTGCAGAACTCATGGCTACACTGAAAGGCAATAGCTCAATGGTAGAGCAAATATTTTACATGCAGTAGAGCCCAGGTTAAATAACAGGCATCTCTGGGTAGGGCTGGGAAAGAATTCCATTTGAAACCCAGGCAAAGCACGGCCAGTCAGCATGGACAATAATGAGACCAATGGTCTGACTTGGCACAAGGCTGCTTCTTACATTCCTAGATAACATACAAAAGGTTCAAAGACTAGAAGGAATGTAGGTTGTCTGATGTTGCAATCCTAACCCCCCTTACTTGGGAGTAAACCCCAGTGAAATCAATGACATGGCCTTCAATGAGAAGACATGGCAAGGATTGCTCTGCAAGTAACTATTTATTTACTGTTTTATACTTCTCCCTCTTCTAATTAAGCGGCTACAAACAAACATGTCATAATACTACTGTAAGACCATATAACACAATCAACAATATCAAAGCCTAAGGGGAACCTAAGCAATGTTTTGCCATGTTTACAAAACAGGGAAAGAGTCAGGCCCAAGCAGATCTGTCAGCTGGTTCCGCCACAGAAAAGGTCCTGCTACATAACCCACCGAATCTTATCTCTCCTAAAGATGGGCCTCTTCCTTTTCATTATGATAAGGGCCCACTCAAAGAGCCACTTGTGTCATTTTTCTAAGTCAATGTATTTATCGGGACTTAGAAGCTTGCAAAGTTTTTTCAGTATTTTGCCAACAAAACTGGACAGGATTATGACCAAAATGACCAGACTTTGGAGTGTTCTATGTACTGCACTCTATTATGCTGTGTGATAGAAAAGCTATCTGTTGTTCAGCCCAGGCTTCTACCATGGTTCTCAGTAATGAAAGATCCTGCTGACCTTTCTGATAAACCAAACTGTGGCTGATAAAGGATATACCCTTGATGGCAGCATTTGGAGTCAACCGTTCATTTGCTCCAGTGATGTGGGGTGGGAAAAATTATTCTTCTGTAGAATAGGTTCTGTTTCATAAGTTCATTGGTAACAACACGTGGGTACCAACTGCAAATACAGTATCTCTCACATCTTATTTTCAAAAGCTAATGAAAGTCCAGTTTGTATTTTCATACCTATTCTCTGCATTACAAGAATTCTGCACAGCTAAAATGGAACCTGAAACAGAAAAATGCACAACTGAAAAGTGATCATATTTTCCGAGCAAAGAAAGCTCAAACAATTCTTTCTAAAAATCTGGGACTTTTCCAGACAGACAAGGGAATGTGGAAGAGAGACAGAAAAACACACGTTTTTAACCAAAAACCAAAACTTTTTCTGGCCAGTACAATACAAATCTAAACGTACTTACTAAGTCCCACAGCACTTTGTGGGACTTCTATGTAAACACGCATTGGATTGAGATGCAAATGAAATGGGGTGGGAAGCTTTGCGGATTTGGGGAATCTATGCTACCTAACAGTAAAATACGAAATTTTGGAAGGCAACAAGGATATCCGCAGGCAACTAGGCTGTTTACTTTGGCAGTAAGATACTACAGTGGTACCTCGGGTTAAGTACTTAATTCATTCCGGAGGTCCATTCTTAACCTGAAACTGTTCTTAACCTGAAGCACCACTTTAGGTAATGGGGCCTCCTGCTGCTGCCGCGCTGCAAGAGCACGATTTCTGTTCTCACCCTGAAGCAAAGTTCTTAACCTGAAGCACTATTTCTGGGTTAGTAGAGTCTGTAACCTGAAGCATATGTAACGTGAAGCGTTTGTAACCAGAGGTACCACTGTAGTTCAAATGGCTCAGATGCTGGGAAGTTGGACTTGTGAGTTGCAACCACTATCCATAGCATACTTTGCAAATGAACAGCAGGAGAAAATGCACTCTCCTAGCCTCTTAAAATAGTGTTTTGAATGCTGCATGATAAATCATGTCACTTTAAGAGAGGTGCTGGGGGACAGTGGGGATGATACCTGGATTCCCTGCATTTACTTAGGTCTGTGAAATATGGGCCACTTTCTTTATGAAGCCAACACATCAAGCCTGCAAATGTAATAATGAACAACCCTTTTCATTTTGCTCTAAACACCTTTTTGTGAACCCACCCCCAAAACCCCTCTATAGGTCAAAAACATTCTTAATAAGCAATTCTGAAAGTCTAGATTAGAAGCAAATAGTATTAGAAATTTGAGGATTTTTCAAAAAGTAGGTAATTCAGTATTTGCTTCATAGATTGCAGAAGGCAGGGCTTAGATCAGGAAGACCTAGGCTGAAATTTCCACAGAGGCCACTAAGGTCTCTTGGGAACATCACATTTATGAAGTAATTAATGTACACTTTTTGAAAGAAATGCAGGATACAGGTGTGATAAATAAATCACCAATACAAAAAAAAAATTAGCACTAGGAGTAGAATACTTTCTAAGATGGAGGACACTGGTCTGGACATACTTGCATGCTATTCTGAAGGAAACAACACTTGATCAAGACTTCTGTACAACTACAATAATTAAATTTGCAGGAAGTAACAGACTTTAAAAGGTGGCAATACATCTGCAAGCCACACACATATCCCAAGTGTCAATCTAAAAATTCTAAGTAACATCAGGGATTTGATCCCAAGTCTCCAAGAGCAAGTACTGCAGCTACTTGCTGCAACAAATTGACTAACTGGAGAAGAAAAGGAATTACAGGGGGAAATCTCTCTCCATCTGTAGTTAGAACAGTGGAGAATTTAGGTAACATACATGAAAATATCAAGAAGTTGTGGGTTACAGTCCAACTCCTCTAAAAGGGATAATCAAATAACTTCTTTTAAAACAGATTTATGTTTAAGGATAGGTTTCAGGAACAAAGTGTATGAGAGTGGGGATTAGTGTTCCCCAGCATCACAAGAAGTGTTTACTCAAAACATGCTTCCTTTATCTTGATATGGAGTGGGGGCGGGGCGGGTTGCAAGCTGTGAGAAGATTCAAGGCCTTTTCTTAAATGAGAAATGGGGAAGAGGGGGAACAGAGAAAGGAGAAAACACAACAAAGGACTTCTAATAAGGTCAAAGCAGAAAGGATATTGCATTTAAAGCAAGTCCTTTGGCCCACTGAATACATGTGATGATGAAGAACATCCAGCCATACTCAAATAATGCAGTACTCCCTTTTCATTTGCCAATTAGGAACTGTGGTCTGAAAAAGCGGAGGTGCAGGGGGTGGGGGAAGAGAAGTTACTTCTTCTTGAAGAAACAATATGAAAAGATAAAAACCACACACAAAGAGTGGGAATAAAATGTCTAAAGGAGCAACACAAAAATCTGGGGAACAATCCGAAGTTACTGTGGAAGCGGAGGTGTATATTTAGACAACTTCTTCCCCACTGTCAACACACACGCTACAAAAATTATTTTGGTGAGTAGGGGTAGACAGTTATATCCTAAAAAAAGCAGTAACAGCAGGATATATATGGAGATCCCCATTAGGAAATTCTGCAGTGGGAAGCGACAGGTGGAAAAAAATATCATCCCCATATTTATCATTCCGCCAAGCATATTGACTCTGGGCAGGGGGAGAAGATAACTAAAAGGTTCCACTTTGCATAGCAGGAAGAAGAAAAGAAGCATACTTACATCCCCATTAGAAATATTGGAGGCGGGGAGAGAAGAGATAACAGACTAAGACTACAATCCTATTACACACTTGGGAGTAAGACCCACTGAACAGAGTGGAGACTTATTTCTGAAAAAAACATGTGTAAAATCAGGCTGCAATCTTAAGCACACCTGACTACCACACAAACATTTGCCACATTCATTTTACCCACTTTTGGCTAATGTACACAAGGCCACTGAAAAGTTAAAGGAACACTTTACCATCTAAAGACAACTGGACTCATAGAACTATGGGAAGGGAATTTTTGTTTATCATCTCTTTGCACAATATGTACGCAAATTTCCTACCACTGATGTGGTGTGAGGAGAAAAGCTTCAGCTAAATAAGAAAAACAGTGTACTGCAGTACACAGATGGGGGGGAAGGAGTAGATAACAAATAATGGAGAAAGTGTTTTAAATAAAATATATCTGAACTATTTCAATTATTAAATATGTATTGTACTTTTTGACAGGAATTCTCCAAAAGGGGTTCACAGCATTCCTTTTTTATTTTTATGCCAGGCTCTGTGCCAAAATTTAAAACAATCCCACCAAAAACTTTGAAAACATTTTGTGTGTGTGTGTGTGTGTGTGTGTGTGTGTGTGTATCTCAATCTCGATCTATCTATCTATATATAATACATAAACTTGTGTGGGAAGATTCTTTTGGGAGTAGAGAAAGAACAAAAATAGCCTTCCTTCCAGAAATAGAACTTTATTTTAAAAGGCAATTAACAAAGAAAAAAGGGGAGGCTTCCTTCAGATTTGGGAGGGTAGTTGGGGAAAAAAGTTGTTCTGGCCACTATGATTTGGTGCTGAGGGTGGCGGTAGGGTAGAAAACAGATACACATATGGAAACAAATATGCTGGGAGCACCACAATGTAGCAACAGCAGTGGAATAAAGATTACAACAAAAACAATACAGTACAGGGGCTCCACACCCACCCAATGTAATTCACCAAGGAAGTCTACACACAAATAAACACTATAATGTTTGGTAGGGGAAAGAGAAATAAATTCAGCAAACAATAATAATGAAACTTAATTCTTCCCCACCCACCCTTTATTCTTCTTGGTAGATTCAATATGGAAGCTGTTCCCTTGGACCAAGGGAATAAAGATGTGCATATAGAGAAGAAGAAAGCTCAATTTGATTATTGCATTTTTAAATTATTATCAACACATTGGATGAAACCCCTCTGCCTAGAAATAGGGTAAGAAAGCCCTTCCCCACATTTGGAATGGGAGGAGAGTTTGAGGATAAAACTATTTCCCCCCTCTTCCTACTGCCCCTCCATTCCCTATATGGGAAAAGGGCTCCTTAGCCCATTCGTGAGGCAGGTAGAGAGTTTGAGGAGAAAATGCTATTATTTTACTATCATTTTAGGAATAATTATTTAGTTATCATTCTTGTGCATAACCCACTTCATAGTGGAAGGACAAGCAAATTTTCAGGGAGGCATCACAACAACTCATGCCTCAGCAAAAAAGAAAAGAAAAAAGACTGAGAAAGCCTTGCCACCATCATGTAGACTTGGCAGCAGGGTGTGTGTGAAGAGGAAAACAGTACAGTGGTACTTTGGTTCCCGAACTGCTTAGTTGTCGAACAAATCGGTTCCCAAACGCCACAAACCTGGAAGCCAAATGTCCGATGCGGCTTCCAATTGAGTGCAGGAAGCTTCTGCAGCCAATCAAAAGCCGCGGCTTGGTTTTCGAATGGTTTCAGGAGTTGAATGGACTCCCGGAACGGATTAAGTTCGAGAACGAAGGTACCACTGTAATTTATTTTCCACACTGCCTGGTATGTTCTGGTACACATGTATACATGTATTTCCTCCTCTTTCTTTTCCTCCTCTTTCTTTTTATGACAGGCTGCAGTTCTGAATGCTGTCCTGGGTTATTTATATGAAGGGCAGTAAACAAATATCTTAGATAAAATTGTCAAACCTCTTCAAAGTTGGATTGCATCAGAAGGATGAATTGATGCTAATTTATGAATAGATGTTAATTTGTTTTGTGAACCGCCCTGAGACCTCTGGATATAGGGCGGTGTATAAACTCAAATAATAATAATAATACACCCACAGAGAAGGCAAGGCTGGCCTGCAATTGCCCAACCAGCACCACGGATAGCTCCTAGTGAGCAATCTGCTCTGGGGAAAGGCTGAGAACAGACTGGGCCTTTTTAAGCTCCTGCTCTCAGGCTACCTCTCTAAGGCTCCACCCCCTTGTGACTAACTCTACTCTCTTAAAGGGCCAACCCTCTGGCCAGACAAGGAGCACTTCTCGATTCCCTAGCCTCAGGCATGCTGCACTCTCTGCCAGCTGGAATGATGAGGTTCATGAGTGGTTCAGGCTCTGGCCCTACATACCCATGTTCCGCACCCTCAGTTGTCCTCCTCAGCAATAAAGCTGCTTGCACATTTGCAAAGCTTAAGCAGGGCCAGGTATGGTTTCAAATTGGACAGAGGACTGACATTCCTGCACTGAAGGAAAGTTGGGCTAGAGGACCTTCAGGGTCCCTTCCAATTCTACAATTCTGAGTCTGTGATTACTAGCAGGAGGCTCACAGCCCTGCACCTGGTCTGACTCCTTAGCTTCAAAGTCTGCAGCCTCCGACTCACAAGTCCCCAGAGTCAAGACTTGTGGGTCAGAGGCTGCAGACTTTCAAGCTAAGGAGCCAGACCCCAGTCACCACACTGCCCACCCCATCCCACACGAGGACTGCCTTAGCCTAATTTCCAGAGTGGAAACGAACCTCTGGTATTGTTACTGTGGAAAACTGGCTAAGGAAGGCCTTACCAGATAACTGGGAGGGAAAAGAAATTTTATAATTATTTCTCCACACTCCCCCCACCCCCACAAAAAACCTATCCACTGAGGTCTTCATCAATTGGCTTTCCAAACATACATGCAAATACAGACTAAGAATGTTATTTTCCCATGGATAATTTGGGGGGGGGGAAATGAGTGCAAGGAAAAAGAAATTATTTCTACTCGGACTATCTCAAATTCTCTGTGAGATGGGAGAGTAGGCAAGAGAACTTTCCTAGTCAACTTTCCAAAGTGAAAGTCTTATTATTTATTACTATTATTAACTAAAACGTTACTCCTTACACTACTAGGAAGTGGTAGTTTGAGTCTCTATTAGTTTTTTAACAAAAAGAGAGGCTCAAGTCACCTTCCTATCAACAATAACTACAAAAACAGAGGCTGTATTTTCCCCACCCTACGGAAAAATAGGTAACAAAAGTATTTACTCCCTCTATGAAGACTGGAGGAAGTGTGAGGATAAATTATTATTGTTAATAATAACAGAGGCTCAGGGTTGTAGCCAATGTTAGCTTGGCTCAGAGTAGACACATTGAAATTAATGGACATGACTAACTTAGGCCTAATTTCCATGGGTCTACTCTGAGTAAGACCAGCACTGGATATAACCCTCAGTTTCCCCTTAAGAAACAGGGTAAGTCCCTCTCCTCTAAAGAATTGAAGGGGGGGAGGCTGTAAAGAAATACTAATATGAAGTGAATGATGTTGTTTTTGTTGTTGTTGTTGTTGATGATGATGATGATGATAGTGTAATAATAGGCTGCTTCAGGGTGGCACTTGGAGAGGCTATTTTCTGTGGCACCCCCTAAGTTGCAGCATTCCCTCATATGCTGGGACCCACCCTATTCACGTGATTGTAATTTGTTTTCAACTGTTTTGATATTTTATTTCAAATTGTTGTGGGACTTTAGGTCGAAGGGTGGATAACAACAACAGCAATAACAACAAAGGTTCAAACTTAATATTATTAATGGCTCAGTCCACCCCACCCACTCAATGGAAAAGTGGGGGAAGTATAAGAAGAATTTTTTATTTAAGTGCCTAACAATAACAACACATCCCCCAACCAGTAAGAGCTGTTCGACAGTGGAATTTGCTGCCAAGGAGTGTGGTGGAGTCTCCTTCTTTGGAGGTCTTTAAGCAGAGGCTTGACAACCATATGTCAGGAGTGCTCTGATGGTGTTTCCTGCTTGGCAGGGGGTTGGACTCGATGGCCCTTGTGGTCTCTTCCAACTCTATGATTCTATGATTCTATGATTCTATGAACCACCTTTCCTTCCTACTCTGGAAAAACTAGAAGTCTTTCCTCTCCCCCACAATGGGTTGGGGAGAAAGAAGACAACATGTGAGGAATTTTTTTTATTAATAAACACCACCACCACCAATAATAATACAGCCTCAATCTTTCCCCGTTGTTCCCCTCCCCCCAAAAAAATTAGTTCAGGAAGAGCTTCTTCTCACCCACAACAGAAAACGGGAGACCAGGGAATAAGTACTGTAGTAGTGAATGGAGAAATTATTAAATTAGTAATAATAGCAACAACAACAATAGAGCCTCTGTTTTTCTTCCTCCTGCCCCACTGGAAACATTTGGTCCTCTTGTTTCCCATAATAGATAATGGGAGGAGAAAGAGTTAAGAAATTCTTAAAGACGTTCCTAATAACATCAACAACCTACTTCTTTTGGACTGAGGTGGGGGAGAGAAATGGCTCAGGGAGTTCTTGTTGCTGTTGCCTCCCATGGGAAAAGAAGGGAGAAGAAAGGTGTAAAGATAATTTGTTTAATGAAGTTTCTTATGAAAGCAACAACAGTCATAAAACCTCAACCTTCTTCCCTCTCCCACATCCAAAAAAATAGGGCCAGGGGATCCTTCTCAACATCCCCCAATGGAAAATAGGAGTAAAATGGGAAAGTGTAAGGAGAAAATATTAATTAGATTCCCAATAACAAGGGCTCAGTGTGGTTCCCTCTTCCTCTGCCCAACACCCTGGAGGAAAAAATTGGCCCCCACTCTCCAAAATAGAAAAGGACATTTTAAGATCATAAATATTGTAACAATAATAGTGTCCCAACCCTGCCCCCCAAAAATGGAAAATGGGAGGAAAAGGGTGGTGATATTTTTAAAAATTAAGTGTGTAACAATTATGAAGCCCCAACCTCCCTTCCTTTCCAGCGCCACAAAAGGAAAATGGGAGGAAAGGGAGGAGGAAAAGTGCGAAAGCATCTTTAAATGACGTTCCTAACAGTAATAATAATGCTCTTTCGTCCCCCCACCCCAGGCGCACAAACACGATGGAAAATTGGGGGGTAAGAGAGAGAGAGCGAAGGAAAAGTGCCAGAACATTATTATTATTTATGAAACTTGTATACCGCCCTTCACCCCAAGAAGGACGGCTCACAACAGTATAAAAACACCCAATGAAAATACCCAATGTAACATGTTCAATCAAGTTCCCAGCAACAACAACAATACCCCACCTCCCCCCCTTCGCACGCAAAAAACAAATAAGTAAAAATGGAAAAAAGTGTGGGGGTAGGGGAAATAAATATTAAAATATAAACCCCAAGAACAAACAATAGCGCCCTTCCCCCTCGGAAAAAAAACCAAAAATAGAAATTGGCCTGGGAAGAGCAATTTCTTTCCTCCTCCACATGGCGGGGGGTGGGTAGGTTAATAGGCATTTTATAGAGAAGAGATAGAGAGATATAGAGAGATAGGCCGAGGCCTCCCCTCCCCCACCTTCCTCCTCTCGCCCCTCCCCCCGGCTCCTTCCCCTCCCCCACTCACTCGTCGCCGCTGAGGAGAATCGGGAGAGAGAGAGAGAAGAAAGAGAAGCGTCGGATGGCGAAATTAAATAAATATTTTTGTTTAAAAAAAAAAAAAACCGTCCCTGCACTTCTGCCGCCTGCGGAAAAGCTCGGGATTACCGCCCTCCCCCTTCCCTCCCTCTTTGTGGAGAAGTCCCCCCCCGCCGCCGCGTTTACCGCCCCCCCTCACCCACCCTCAAGTCTCGGGGCGGCGCGCGGGCCCTGCGCTCAACGGCTCACCCTGAACCCAGAACCGGAGGAGGAGGAGGAGGGGGAGGAGAGCGAAGACCTCGAATCTCTCTCTCTTTTTTTCCCTTTTCCCCCCCTCACCCGTTCTCGGGGCAGGGAGGCGCTTCTGCGCATGCCCCGCCGCCGCATGGCGGCCTTGGGCCATGTAGTTCTCCCGAGGCGCCTCCGAGCGGCCTGGATTCGGCGGGAAGACTACGCCTCCCAGGAAGCACCGCGCCGAGCAGCGAGGGGCTGCGTTGGCCTCTTTTTTTTAAGGGCCGGAGAGAGTCGATCAACGAGGACCTGGGGAAAGGGGGGAGGGAGAAACAACATGGCTGTGCAGGGCCCAGGCGGCGTTGCTTTCCAGCAGCTCCTTGCACTTGGGAAGGAATTTTTTAAAAAATAAAATAAAAATAATAGTAATGGTAATTGCAAAAAAATTATAGCGTGATTGTAAGTCACTGCATTTTTTTTAAGAGGCACAGCTCAAAACAAAAACATAACCTGAATTGCTGTGTGTGTAATGCACTGGCACAAAAAATAAATCCCGCCCCCTTTTCCCATGCACAATGAGGGAATCTTGCTGCAGAGGCAGGAGGCTTGGCGAGATCAGGCCGTTTCTTCTTCGTCCTCCATTGAGGGTACGCCCTGGCAAGGCGAGATGCGCGGCTTTGTTTTGCCTGCTTTAAACCTTGTCCGGGGATTGTTTCTTAGCACTCCCTATCCCGCTGCAACTCTATCTGCCTTTAAAATGCCCTGGCATTAATTTATACAAAAAGAAACAAAAAATAAAGCATTTTTAAGATGTTGCCTGAACATTTCCCGGCCAAAGTGTTGAGGTCTAGAAACATTTTAAATGCATATAAAATATTATGTTGCTTATTCTATTTTTTTTAAAAAAAAAACATAATATGTGCATGACACTATAATTTTTGGGATTAGCATTGCAATTTTTCATGGTTTCCCTCTGATAATCTGAACCTAGGATTGTACCCAGGGAAGTACTACTCAGAGGCAACCCATTCAAATAAATGGACACAAATTGATTTCAAGGAGTCAAGACTATGACTAATACTGGGTACAGCCTATAGTTTTAATAAATGTATAATACTCATTGATACGGTTAAGTGTTTTGTCTTGCACTCTGCTGCATAATCAACAATAATGTGAAATATTAATATAGACAATGTTAAGAAAGTAGGTTAAGAAAGTATAATATAGACAATGTTAAGAAAGGGAAATCCAAAAATTACTGTTACTATTCTGTAACAACAAAGAGAAAACATTTTAAGGATAGTGAGGGCAATATTTACATACATATATACAGTACTGTATATATGTTTCTTCTCCCCAAACCTCCATCAAATCTGAGAGGACAGATCCAAATGCCCCTATGTTTTAGTTAAATCACTGTCCCATTTTGCTTAGTGATGAGAAATGGAAATACCGCCTTTGCAATATTTCCTTGCCTGTATCGCACAAGGTTTTCTATTCAGAAGGAAGGCTTAGAGTGGACAGTACAGTGAAGCTTCCTCCCTGGTAAACAAGATTAGGGTTTCACCTTGACAGCGCAATCCTATCTATACATATATCTACTCAAAAGTAAATTCTCAGTGGGGCTTATTCACAGGATGAGTGGGCAGAGAAGCTGGAGAATTTCAATTAAAAATGAAGCGGAAATTGGTGCAGTTTGCATGTTATGTCAGAAACATAAATCAGTCAAGCAAATGCAATTGATATTCACATCATTGTTGTCCACAGATACAATGCTTAATTAAACTGCTTTTTTCACATGGCATTGATGGTTCCTTTACATTGAAATTAATGTCAGCAATGTAAGTTGCATAAATAGTTATGGAAGTCACATTAAATAGCAAACAGGGAGACGGATAACTAGTATTTGGCAGAAACTGACCTGCAGCAGAATGTAAACAGTACCGATTGCAATGAATACACTTCACAATGGAAATCACTCCCTTCTTACATCCTGTGAATAAGTCCCACTGAGCTCAGCTGTGCTTACCTATAAGTAAGCGTGTGTCATTGTACTGTTGTTGACATCCGTCTGTCTCGCGAGAGGCATACAAGGCACCATCCAAGCGTCTTAGGAACTCCACTCCAGAATTGTGCTACTCCTTAGCCTTTTCTTCTCCTGAAGATGTCCCACAAGGCAGCGGAGGTTTAGGATCAGAGTTTTCCTTTTCCTAGATGGGCTGTCTTCCCAGGTTGATGAGCCCCATCTGCCCCTCACTTCCCTCTACAGCCCGTGCAGAAACTGCCTTCTTGACCATTGAACTCACTATTGATCTTCTCCATTCAATCTGCCGCAGGGGAAGTCCTTAACACATTGAGGGTCTGAGACCCATCACCAGCTACACTCACCTGGTTTAGCCAGCCAGTCAAAGCCGTTTCCTGCTGTTGCAGTGCTGACATCTAGGAGCCACTGGTGAGAGCTGAATGCAGGGTGGGCAGCAAAGATGGATAAACTAACCCAGAAGGAGCAGGATGTGTCCCCGCTCCCAGAGGTACTATCCCTGCTCTAACACCACATATATCCTCACTGTATTGTAAATATTAAAGTGGATAGAGAGAAGTTTTTTTCTCCCTCATGAGACTGGAACTCGTGGGCATCTAAAGAAGCTGGAAGATTCGGGACAGATAAAATAAAGTACTTCTTTTTTAATGTATTTTACTTTTAAAGTTTATACATTTCACTAATTTTACAATCATGTTGACATTTTAAACCTTGACTTCCTTCCCCCTCTTTCTGCGGTTCCTTAAATTTGTTTTTAATACCTTCTGCGTATCCAAGTTAACTTTATTTGCTCATTTATTCATCTTCTTTAAATATATGCTCTTATGAAACTGCAGGTTATTACAATAACCCTGCCAATGTTATGTTTATAATTTATCTGTAAATATTCAATAAACCATTTCCATATATATATATATATATATATATATATATATATATATATTTCTTATTCTTCCAGTAAGTTTCACCATTTCTGCATATTCCATAAGTTTTTTGTATCCATTCTTCCTTTGCTGGGACTTCTGCTTCTTTCCATTGCTTCACACAGTTGTCAAACTATGGGGTGGGCCCCATCTTGGAAAGGACAATTTTATGGAAGATAAGGCTTCTCAATGGCGATTAGGCACAATAGTTATGGCTCTGCCTCCACAATCAGAGGCAGCAATGCTTCTGAATACCAGTTGCTTTTGTGTTTGGGTGCTGCTTGAAGGTTTCCCAAAGACACCTGGTTGGCCACTGTGAGAACAGGATGATGGAGTAGATGGGTCTCCTTTGGCCTGATCCAGCAGGCTCTTCTTGGGTTCCTAACCCCTGTCACATGTGCATATAATGCATTAGGCTGGAATAACTCAGTCAGCAAAGCGTGAGTCTCTTCATCTCAGGGACATGGGTTCAAGCCCCATGTTAGGTAAAAGATTGCTGCATTGCAGGGGGTTGGACTAGATGGCCCTTGGGGTACCATCTAATTCTATGAATACAAAGGCACCATCTGGGGCACTTTATATCATTCTTCCCAGTGTGCCAGGGTGAAGCTCTCAACGTATCTGGGCGAACGCCTCTTCCTGGCTATTGAAAAGGTCTAGTGGACAGGATTTGGGAATAGAGAAGAAATATCCAACATATATACAGTGGTGAGAAAAAGCTAAGTAAGAACTATAAGCCTCTGCACATGGGCATGTACAGAGTGCACCTCCTTTGCGGAACCTCTGTAATAAGATGGTCTCACAATACAATAGAGCCCATCAGGTCTAGCTATCTCATTAGAGAAGGTTAAATAAAAGTATGGTATTATTTTTCGTTTGTTTCACTTGCTTATTTTTTTCCACATTTTATGATTCCTAATGACTGGTGATTAATAAATCTGAGTTACATATTGATATTTTTTGGCTTTATTTTATTTACATTCCTAAGGATTTGGGTTGTGAGTGACAATAACTTGATTAGTTCATCAAGGAGTCAATGAACTCAGATATTTTTCCATATTATGTACATTATGTGGTCATCCAGATGCGAGAGAGAGGTAGCAGTAGACTTGTCTTGGGGCAACCCCAAGCTTTGCAGAAGTACAAGGACAAAACCCGAAAAGCAGGTGGGATCAATAAAATTGGCCCTGTAAGTATTCAGTAAGCTCTGAGGCACAGAATGCTGACTGGCTTTTGGAAAAGAACAAAGCAGGAAACCAGGTGTGGAGAGGAGTGGAATAGGATATTCCAAAAGAGGCTGGCTGGGACCCTAAACAAAATGCAGGCCTCACTTTTGATAACATCTCCCAAGACGGATGCAGGCTTTCCTCCTCCAAATGGATCTTGCAGAGACAGGCTGTGGCTGGCTAAGGTCAACCCTGAGCAAGGGACACCCCCCCACCCCAAAATATTATTCTGGTTGGCTTAGGGGGGTTTGACTTCTAGGAGCTCTTCCAGTTTTGCAGTTCTGTGATAGCAGGATTGGAGCGAAGCCTTGTATTCGCCAAGAGGCTGCTGTAGAGGTGGCATGGCGAGGCAGCTGAGGTGACGGCAGGAGCGTGCCACCGCTGCTGCTGCTGCCCCTGTGCATCCTGCCACCTGAGGCGGTCGTCTCACCTTGCCTCATGGATGGGCCGGCCCTGCCTAGTACCTCTGGAGCATGGGTAGGCAAACTAAGGCCTGGGGGCTGGATGCGGCCCAATCGCCTTTTAAATCCGGCCCACGGATGGTCCGGGAATCAGCATGTTTTTACATGAGTAGAATGGTCCTTTTATTTAAAATGCATCTCTGGGTTACTTGTGGGGCCTGCCTGGTGTTTTTACATGAGTAGAATGTGTGCTTTTATTTAAAATGCATCTCTGGGTTATTTGTGGGGCATAGGAATTCGTTCATCCACCCCCCCCCCCCACATATACAGTGGTACCTCAGGTTGAGTACTTAATTCGTTCTGGAGGTCCGTTCTTAATCTGAAACTGTTCTTAACCTGAAGCACCACTTTAGCTAATGGGGCCTCCCGCTGCTGCTGGAGCACGATTTCTGTTCTCATCCTGAAGCAAAGTTCTTAACCCGAGGTAATATTTCTGGGTTAGCGGAGTCTGTAACCTGAAGTGTATGTAACCTGAAGCATATGTAACCCGAGGTACCACTGTATAGTCCAGCCCCTCACAAGGTCTGAGGGACAGTGGACCGGCCCCCTGCTGAAAAAGCTTGCTGACCCCTGGAGCCTGCCACCATCTGCACCTGTTTGAAGTCCCATGTGGTGAGTCTTGGAAATTGCAGGTGGGCACCTAGGCTGACTCCGCCCACCCAAACTGGCCATTGGCTCCTCCTGAATACGGTGAACTATAAACAGGCTTCCAGTTCCGTTTGCCATTTGCTGGAGCAACAAACTCTTGAGCTCTGACAGGTTCCTGCAGCTTCAGTTATACTTTGATCCTAACGTCCAGCTCGCCTCCTCCCTAGTTCTTTGGTTCTCCTACCCTACTCAGAGTGAACTTAATGTGGCATGGCTAATGTATGTTAAATACTTCTGATTGGTGATTTCCAACTAAGGTTTGCACACAGCAGGACCACTGAAATAATGGACCCAAGTTCGTTATGCCTATTGTTTTCAATGGGTCTGTTCTGAACAGGACTTACAAAGGATACAATTGAGTAGGACTGTGGTGTAGCAGTTAAGAGTGCTAGACTAGGACCTGGGAGTAAGGTAAAGGTAAAGGGACCCCTGACCATTAGGTCCAGTCGTGACCGACTCTGGGGTTGCGGCGCTCATCTCGCTTTATTGGCTGAGGGAGCCGGCGTACAGCTTCCAGGTCATGTGGCCAGCATGACTAAGCCGCTTCTGGCGAACCAGAGCAGCGCACGGAAACGCTGTTTACCTTCCCGCCAGAGCGGTACCTATTTATCTACTTGCACTTTGACGTGCTTTCGAACTGCTAGGTTGGCAGGAGCAGGGACAGAGCAACAGGAGCTCACCCCATTGCAGGGATTCAAACCACCGACCTTCTGATCGGCAAGTCCTAGGCTCTGTGGTTTAACCCACAGCGCCACCCGCATCCCAGGACCTGGGAGACCAGGGTTCAAATCCCTACTCAGCCATGAAGCCCACTGAGTGACCTTTGAGGCCATTTGCTATCTCTCAGCCTAACCTCCCGCACAGGGTTGTCATGTGGTTAAAACTGAGAAAGGGAGAAGTTTGGATGCCACCATGAGCTTGCTTGGAGGGAGAAGCATGTAAAATGGGATGTAAACGGAATAATAAATGCAAATAAATAAATACATAGGGCTGTATCCCACCAAGTTCTGCTCAAAAGTAGATTGATCCCTCACCCCACTGCAGTGGTGATTCTCAAGCTCTTGGCAAGATTGCAGATTCTGCTTACCCGCTTTCTCCAACACCTCAGCGCCGTCGCTTTCCAAGGAACGGTTTTAATCAAAGCTGTCATTCTTTAATTAAGCTCCATTGAGATGCCATCTGCTCGGGATACTCTTTCCCCCCTTCCTTTCTTAATAAACCCGTTTCATGTTTTGCCACTTCTAACAAGGATTGTGATTGAATTTGGAGCGTGCAAGCATGTGCAACGTGAACAAATAAACCGGCAAACTCCTTCAAAAGTTGTAAAAGGATGCGTGGAGGGGGGTTGGAAGAATTGCAGCTCCCGTCTCTTAATTGCAATGAAGCAAAAAGTCCCTTCTGCATATAATTATGTTATATACAGAAGCTTTGCGTGGAAAGCAGGAGACAAGTGAAAAGATGGATGATTGTGGGAAACAGCAAGAATTAGCAGCAGAGGGAAAACAGTAATAAAGCAATCATGGGATTCTCTTGCAATTTTGGCAGAGAGAGAGATTCCTTATGAAAGCCTTCCATAGAATGCAAGCCTGACTACATATGAGCAACACTTGGTTTAGGGTCCGCTGCGATATCCGCTGCGATATCACCAAAGGCGCAGAGTTCCGCACAGCATTGCGGGGGCTTGTTGCACATGATGTCACACGTGTTGGGATGAGGCCACAAGGCCCAGGGAGCTGCCACCACCACGGGCAGGCCCAACAAGGCCCTCTGCCACCATGCCTCAGCCCAGTGTAACTGAAGGAGCGTCTCCACCCCCATTGTTCAGCTCTGAGGGCCTTCTGGCGGTTTCCTCTCTGTGAGATGTGAGGTTACAGGGAACCAAGCAGAGGGCCTTCTCGGTAGTGGTGCCTTGACATCAGATGTCAAGGAAATAAACAACTATCTGACTTTTAGAAGACATCTGAAGGCAACCTTGCTTAGGGAAATTTTCAATGTCTAATATTTTACAATGTTTTATGTGCTGTAAGCCGCCCTGACCTGGCCTGGTACCAGGCATGGAGTCCTCTGAAGACAAACAAGACACCTCACAGGTTGAGGACCTTGAGGAGGAGCAGGCAGAGCCCCCAAATCCAATGCTGAGGGGACCCCCAAGCTGCTACCTGATGAAATACCCTGAAATTGTCAGAGGAGGAGAAGTCCTCAAGGGACCAAGCCTAAAACTTTGGGGTCCAGGCCAAAGAATGGCGACACAGTATTGTTGACTACGACGGACACAAGAGTCTTTGTAAGGAATCTCTTCATGACCAGCAGCTGTGCTTAGGAGGTGGTTTAGGAGGCCACAGTAGATAAGACCTCTCTCTCGAGCCTTCTAGTTGTTTAGTCTCCGACTCCTTGGATGTGCTTCTAGTTCACTGTCTTTTTTTTTTTAAAAAAAAGAATATTTATTCCAATTTTAAATTTTGACCTTGGACTGTTCCCTGATCTTGTTTCTGGTTCACCTTTTGGACCTAAGCTGATTATCTGGGCTTGACCTCGGCTTGTTGGGACTATGCTCTCTTGGGTGTTTGGAGCTTGTGACATTCAGCTGCTTCTATCAGCTGCACCTCCATGGGCCAAAAACTAGGCCAAGTGATGCTTAACAGGCCCTAGAGACCCTCCTGAGTGTTAAGACCAGCAGGTGGGGACCCTCAGAAGCTCGAAGGTAGTGGTAGCCCAGGAGAGGACATTATCTGCGGCAGTCCTTGAGTTGTAGAATTCCCTCCTCACTCCTGGCACCTTCATGTACAGCTTTTATATGCTGAAGACACACTTTCTTTGCCTTGGCCCAGGGGTAGTCAACCTTTTTACAGGGGCGTACGAAGGGGGGGCGGAGGGGGCAGGCTGCCCTGGGCACCACTTGGGGGGTGACAAGATGGCCCGCTGCCCCCCTCAGCTGTAGAGCAGCCGAGGGCGCACACACAGTTAGTATGGACGCCGCTTGCATGGCGTCCGCACGGGCTGCCACACATGCGCAGTCCGTACGGGATGTTGCGTGTGCACCGCCAGGCGGTTTGTCCCGCCCCGGGTGCCGGAAAGGGATCCTCCGCCACTGCCTTTTTATATCTACCGCCCACTAATGCATCTTTCTTGATGGTAAAATTTCCTTACCGCCCACCAGTGCTTGAGGGAAGGAGGATTCAGCTTCTGCCATAGAACCCCCAACCGCCCACCTAGAATCCTGAAACGCCCACTAGTGGACAGTAGGGACCAGGTTGACACTCCCTGCCTTGGCCTCTGAACACTCGATATATATGTATTTTAGTACCCACTCTAGTGCAAGTGAGTGAGGGACGCGGGTGGCGCTGTGGGTTAAACCACAGAGCCCAGGACTTGCCGATCAGAAGGTTGGCGGTTCGAATCCCCGTGACGGGGTGAGCTCCTGTTGCTCGGTCCCAGCTCCTGCAGTATGAAAGCACGTCAAAGTGCAAGTAGATAAATAGGTACCGCTCTGGCGGGAAGGTAAATGGCGTTTCCATGCGCTGCTCTGGTTCACCAGAAGCGGCTTAGTCATGCTGGCCACATGACCTGGAAGCTGTACGCCGGCTCCCTTGGCCAATAAAGCGAGATGAGCGTCGCAACCCCAGAGTCGGCCACGACTGAATCTAATGGTCAGGGGTCCCTTTACCTTTACCTTACTAGTGCAAGAGAAATTTGTTTTAAATCATTTTTAATACTGTATTTTATATTACCCACCCCAGGACCCTCTGGTGAAAGGCTGTGTAATAAATATAATAGTAAGAAGTTGAGACCCAAATTGGCTTGGTGGGACTGGCCTGCTACCAGGTAGGGCTTCCAAGAACTGGCACCACATTCTACTGTTTTCAATGGGACTTCCTTCTCCGTAAGCATGCAGACATGGTCAACAATAACTTTAAAACCTTTTTTTTTTTTTTAAGAGCAAGGCAACACTTCCTTTTTTTTATTCAAAAAGGCCCTGGCGGCAGGAATATAGTGTAAAAATCATTGGAAAAACTAAAAGGCATCGATACATATTGGAATATACACTTTGTACAAAAAATTACACATCGTCAGAGATTTCTTTTTGTGTGTGTGTGTTTGTGTGTTATATAATCTGAGGTTCCAATTCAGTGAATGAGGTCTCAATAATTCATCGGTCCTGGGATCTGAACGTTGAGACCTCCGTAGTCCAACATGTACATCGGCCATTGCTGGGGGGAAAAGCAAGAGATGGGAAAACTCATTAAAATAATAATAATAATAATAATAATAATAATAATAATAAATAAAAAATTACAAACACAAAAGGAAATTGCAACACTGCAAATATTGGGCTGCATCAGGGCCAAACGGGATGGTTACATTTGCACATAGTTGAACATTAACTCGGAAGAGCCAGTGAGCCTTGAACCTGCACGGTTCCCCTTTCCTCCTGGTATGACTGTCAGGAGGAGTTTGGAAGTTTTCACTTGCATTTCATGTTATTTTGTGATGTCCCAACCTGAACAAACTGCAATGAGTCTTTTACTATGGTTAGTGGTTAGTAGCTAACTATGGTTCATGGCAGCAAGTCAACCTTCAAACCATAGGTTATGAAGCTGGCTTGTTTTTGCTAATCGTATTTTAAGATTAACCATAGTTTACAGTTTGGATTAACACACGAAACTGTGGTTAATCAAAGCTTCCAATCTCCTTGCAACCACACTGGGAAAAGAGAGCAGGGAGGAGCTTGATCTCATAGCACTAAACCAGGGTTGAGAACCTTCATTAGCGCCAAAACCACATTCACCCTTGGCATGCCAGCTGGGGGCGCAACCAAAAATTGAACATGACTTCCCACACTCTACAGACACAGCACACACATATACAGGATTAAAGTGTCCTACTATTGGTAGAAGAGAAGGAATTTCATTTCTTCTAAGCTACTGCCTGCTATTCATTAATTTTTAAGCAATTAAATTTTTTTAAAGCATTAAAAAAAAAGCACTATACCTGGTTAATTACAGTGTGCTTTTACAGTGGTGCCTCGCAAGAAGAAATTAATCTCTTCGTCTTGCGGTTTTTTCGTCTTGCGAAGCACGGCTATTAGCGGCTTAGCGGCTATTAGCGGCTTAGCGGCTTTAAGAAAAAGGAAACAAACTCGCGAGAACTCGCAAGACGTTTCGTCTTGCGAAGCAAGCCCATAGGGAAATTTGTCTTGCGGAACGACTCAAAAAACGGAAACCTCTTTCGTCTAGCGAGTCTTTCGTCTTGCGAGGCATTCGTCTTGCGGGGCACCACTGTATTAAACATGAAGCCTTTTAACCAAATCAGCTAATGTACCATAACGAGTACATGGACTCAGCTACATTAGTAAACATAAAACATTATAAATGTGTTATAACACTGTGACACCAGATGGTGCTGTAGAGCTGAAATCAGAACTCTATGAATTTTTCCATTGTGAACTTTAAAATGGTTTTTCTTCCACAACATTTTCAGAATGTTTTTTTATAGCTGTGTAGATGCAGCCCTCAAAACAGTGAACAAACAAAGAACCCCCGAGGGATTCAAGGATCTCATAGGAAGCTAGCACTCTATAATGGGGCCTGTCTAAACTAAGGGTAGCCTCAAATTTGTTGGAGTACAACTCCCATCAGCCCCAGCCTGCTACACCAATGGGCAAAGATGTGGGAGATGCTGCCCAGTAATATCTGGAGGTTGGTTTCCCTGGGTCTAGGTGACATTTTTCTAGCCCCAAATATAAGCCATCTCAGGCCGGTTCACAAGATAGAACATGTGGAGAGGAGGGCAACCAAGATGATTAAGGGTCTGGAAACCAAGCCTGATGGGGAACAGTTGAGGAACTGGAGAAGAGAAGACTGAGAGGTGGTATGAGGGCCATCACCAAAGATCTAAAGGGCCGCCCCGTGGAAGATAGAGCAAGCTTGTTTTCTGCTGCTCTGGAGGGGAGGAGATCCAGCCTAAACATCAGGAAGAACTTTCTGATACGTACTTACGGTAATTCGTTCCGGAGGTCCGTACTTAACCTGAAACTGTTCTTAACCTGAAGCACCACTTTAGCTAATGGGGCCTCCTGCTGCTGCTGCGCCGCTGGAGCATGATTTCTGTTCTTATCCTGAAGCAAAGTTCTTAACCTGAAGCACTATTTCTGGGTTAGCGGAGCCTGTAACCTGAAGCGTATGTAACCCGAGGTACCACTGTACTAAGAACTGTTCAACAGTGGAACCGAGTCCCTCGGAAGGTGGTGGACTCTCCTTCCTTGGAAGATTTTAAGCAGAGGTTGGATGGCCATCTGTCATGGATGCTTTAGCTGAGATTCCTACATTGCAGGAGGTTCAGCTACATGACCCCTGGGGTCTCTTTCAACTCTACAATTCTGTGATTGTAAGTTAGCAATGCCCATTATTTTCAGTGGGTCTACTCTGAGCAGCACTAGCATTTGATAAAGCCCTTACTCTGAATCCTCTTTAGGGCAACGCTGGGTCTTGAAAGCAGTGGACGTGCTGTGTGTTCAGTCATGGGAGGCCCAATCCACAGTCTGAGGTGGTGCAGTCGAGACACAGGCTGACCCACCCCCCTTCAGCAAAACAAGCCCCTTGCTGTATATTTACCACAAGTGAGATCTGGTTGGTTGATGACGTGGACTCCAGATTTGAAGAGGAGGAGGAAGATGATGATGAAGAGGAAGACACGGAATTCCCTTCCGAAATCCTCTTCCGCTTCCGTTTGGGAATGGTGCCATCGTTTTCTAGGGACATCCAAGGGGGACGTGGGTTCAAACGGGAACTGCAGCACTCTTCCTGCTTCCCGCCCCACTTTTTGTCGCAACACAATAAAGCCACGAGCACTGGGAAGGATTAAAAACCAACCCACTCCCACTTCAAATCTCATCCTCCCCCTGCTAGAAATTTTAAGAGACTCGCAGGATTCTTCTGATCTTCTTACAAGCAAAGAGAGACTGTTTCGGGGTTGGGGTTTTTGTTTTTCATCTCCCCTCCTCCTCACTTTTCAACTTACCTGGCTGTTTGGCCTCAGATCCTAGGTCTGCAAAGGGCCTGCAGTGTAAAAAAGAGAATAAAAATGAATGGATAAATTTAAAAATGCGGTATTTGCATAGTGAAAGATTGATGGCGATTCTTAAGGAAATGAAACAGACAAAGAGTTTGGAAGCCCCTGTGAAAAGTCTACAATCTTGGAACCAAAACAAAGGAGGTGCCTTTATCTGTGCAGTCAGAGGTATTTTCCACTGACTTATTCCCAGGGAAGTTATGTATAACAGAATGCGTAAGCTTCATATCCTGACAAGAACCACACTCCCGCAGGGCTCATCAGTCCGGGGTCAACAAGAGCACTCCTCCTCCCCTCCTGGTTTCCTATTCTCTCTCCCATCTCTTTCCTGCCCAGTGGGCTACTGTAAGAAACATAGAAGTGCAGAGTTGGAATTCACCCCCAAGGGTCATCTAGTCCAACCCCCTGAAATGCAGGAATCACAGCTAAATAATCCCAGACAGATCCCCTACCATTCCTCACACAGACCCTTGATCATGTTAGTCACCCTCATGTGCATACATTCCAGCTTAAATTGTGGTGCCCAGAACTGTACACAGGCCCTCAGGTGTGTTCTGAGAAAGGCAGAATAGAGCATTACTATTACTTCCCTTGATCTGGACACTATACTTCTGTTGATGCAGCCTAGAATAGCATTAGTGCTTTTTTTTTTTGCTGCTGCTGCGTCACGCTGTTGACTCATGTTAATCTTGTGGTCCACTAAGACCCCAAGATCCTTTTCGCATGTACTGAATGCTGAAGATGCACCTCTTTAACTTGGCCTTTGACCCTTGAGACAGGGGCGGAGGTTGTTTGGAGGTTCTAGCAGGGGAGCGCAGCTATCGTATACCCTTGACCGAAGAACAGTACACTCCTTCTATCTGGGATGGTCGTCCTCTTCCACCGAGTGCGCAGCTTCAGGAGGGATGCACATGGAGCGGTGAGGGAGGAAGGGGACACCAGCCTAGCCAGCCAGATCAGCCGAGGTTGATTTATTTTATTGTTTGATTTATTTTATTGTTTTTGTTTTGTTTTGTTAGTTTAATGTATTGTATTGTATTGTGGTTTTTTTTAGTGTTTAATTTTTTTGGAAAAGTAATAAATAATATTTTTTTTAAAAAGAGAGACAGGGGCGGAGGAAGGGGGTGCGGTGGGGGAGGGTGGCCCCGGGTGTCACCACTGAGGGGGGTGACAAAGTGTCGGGTGGCACACACCGCGCGGCCTGCAGCGTGCCCAAGCCATGCGTCTCTCCTGGGAGTGACACGGTGGCTTGGGCGCCTGCAGGCTCCGTACTGCCCCAAACGGTCCACCCGCCGCCTCCCCCTCAGCTGTAGGGCAGCTGAGTGGGAGGAGGCAGGCAGACTCCTCGGAGGCCCCACGAAGCGTCCTGCCTCGACTGGCCCCGCCCCTGTGGGTTGCTGGCCCCGCCCTTGGGCGCAGGGCACGCGTGCCGCCCCAGGTGCCAAATTGGCTGGCTCCACCGCTGCCTTAAGATATCTATTTTTAGGACCCATTCTTTCCTGGTGAGTGTAATTTGTTTTGAACTGTGGTTTAAACTGTGGTTTTGTTTTGTTTTTGCTTGCCTTTATTTATTTATTGAAAAAGTTTATACAGTGCTACCTCAGATTAAGTACTTAATTCGTTCCAGAGGTCCGTACTTAACCTGAAACTGTTCTTAACCTGAAGACCACTTTAGCTAATGGGACCTCCTGCTGCTGCCGCGCCGTCGGAGCACGATTTCTATTTTCATCCTGAAGCAAAGTTCTTAACCTGAAGCACTATTTTTGGTTAGCGGAGTCTTTAACCTGAAGTGTATGTAACCTGAGGTACCATTGTATACCACTTCTCTTTAAAATAATACGAAGATATAATAAAACAATTCAATACAAATTAGCAATTGTTATTTTGAATGGTTTTAAACTGTCTGTAATGTTTTGTGATCTGCCAGGGAATGGAGCAATCCTTCAGATATTTGGGCCCTAAGTTATTGAGAGCTTTAAACACCAATGTGAGTACTTGAACCGGGCCCAGAAATGAACTGGCAATCATATGCTATTATGTTATTAGTGAATCATAGAGTTGGAAGGGAACCTGAGGATCATCTAGTCCAACCCCCTGCAATGCAGGAATATGCAGCTGTCCCATAAGGGAACTGAACCTGCGACCTTGGTATTATCAACACCACGCCCTAACCAACTGAGCTATCTAGCGATACTATACTTCTTCTTTTTTTTGGCTAGCCATTGTTTTTGAACTACCATATTTAGACTGTTTCTTAGCGTGAACTGCTTTGACCCCAGATGCCATGGAGGAAAATGCGGTGAATAAATGAATTGACTTGTGTTTGAATGTTCTGATAAATTCACTTGCAGCAATTCTGCCGCAATTAAACCAACAAAGCTGTTCTGGTTTCAGGCCAGCAGAGGCCGCTGCGACATTACATATCCAACAGAAGCACTCAGAGGTGCGAGGTGGGAACTGGGGCGCCCTTACTGGAGCTGGTTGGTAACCGCCATCCGAATACGATCTCTGGCTTTGAGGATCTTCTCCAGCCGGTGGATGTCGTAGGTGTTGGGGTTTCGGAAGGGAATGTCGTCCGGCAGGCCAGTCACTTCGATGGCGTCCGGAGTGTCCCTAATCAACTTGTATGGCACCAGGACGGGTCGGTTCAGGCCCAGAGCTTCTCCTGAAACAACAGCAGAGGATATAGTGGGATGCAAAAGGCCCAAGATGGAGAACCCTGCCGTCTCACAGCCAAAACGAAACCGGTCTGGTCCCCATCCTGTTTGCGGTTTCCAAAATCTCCCTGGAAAAAGCTGGTCCTAAACTGTAACTGCAAACTCTTGAGTAAAAGTTAAGTCGGCTACTGCCCGTTCTCCCTCATGAACTGGGCAGAAGGAGGCAGCAAACAGACTTGGAAGTAGCAGAGAGATATGCATGGTGTACAGTGGTACCTCGGGTTACAGACGCTTCAGGTTACAGACGCCGCTGACCCAGAAATAGTACCTCAGGTTAAGAACTTTGCTTCAGGATGAGAACAGAAATCGTGCAGCGGCGGTGTAGCGGCAGCGGGAGGCCCCATTAGCTAAAGTGGTACCTCAGGTTAAGAACAGTTTCAGGTTAAGAACAGACCTCCAGAACGAATTAAGTACTTAACCCGAGGTACCACTATACTATTTCTGGGTTAGCGGAGTCTGTAACCTGAAACGTCTGTAACCCGAGGTACCACTGTACACCATGCATATCTCTCTGCTACTTCCAAGTCTGCTTGCTGCCTCCTTCTGCCCAGTTCATGAGAGAGAACAAATTAAGTTCTCAATCTGAGGTACCACTGTATTGTTTGTCTCGAGCGACAATGGAGTGTGCCACCCAGGGGTGAAGTCAACCCCCTGTAGAATCCCAGTGTCTGCTGTAGCGGCAGAGACCGCTAACTCATAACTGCTGCCTCCTGTGTTGCTTTCGCTGCGTTCGAAGCATTGGACTGACCTCCCTGGGGCGCAAGGCAACCTGGACTGCCCAGACAACAGGACCACCCCACCCCCCTCTCAACCTCACTGATGTGATCCAAAGGAAAGAAGAGCAATATGTTTGGCGCCAGCTTGGCTGCCGGAGTTGCCGGAAGGAGGCATACAAGGTTGTCTTAGAGACTTAGCCTTTTCTCTTCCCAAAGATGTCCAGCAAGGCAGCGGGCAGTATGGAGTTTTCCTCAGGGTTTACTCCTGAAGCTTTCTCACAAATAACTTCAGCAATTGCTGGAGTTTAGGAGGCCAGATTACACAAGGCCTCCTTCTCGAGCCTTCCTATTGCTGAAGACACCACAGGCCTCTGCCTCTTTGCCTTGCTGAGATGCACTCTGCCTGCGTTCCCCGTGATTCCAAAATTATCCGCCTCTCCCCACAGGAACCAACCCAGACCCTGCAGTCGTCCACTGAGGCCCTCCTCCATGGGGCAAGAGGAGGACGGCCTTTTCAGTGGTGGCCCCCTGCTTATAGAATGCTTTCCCAGGGAGGTTCTCCTGGAGCCATCATTACATATCACTGGGCACCAGGCAAAAACTTTTTTTTCCCTGACTGCCAGTGCCACCACGGCAGATCTAGTGTCGTTCGCAGAGCAAGGCAACCCACCGTATTTTTCGTTGAAGAGCTCCTTCACTTGCTCTCGGAGAATCACCTTCTCGCCCAAGCGGTTGGCGTCGTCCTCGTCTGCGGAGACAGGAAACAGGGAGCTGTAACCTTGGGAGCTCTTCCTCCCACCCATCCGGCTGTTGACATAACCCACTGCATGTGACAGGTAGTTTGCCTCTGCCTGGTTTATTTTAGCTCGTTACGTTAATTGCCCGCCTTTCCTCCAAGGAACTCAAGGTGGCGTACACATGTCTTCCCATTTTCTCCCCAAAACAACCTTGCGAGGTGGGCTAGGCTGAGGGTGACTGGCCCTCGTGACCTTCATGGCTGAGTGGGGATTCGAACTTTGGTCTCCCACGTCCTAGTCCGACACTCTAAACACTACAGTGCACTGGCTAATTGTCTAGCATGTGTGTAGAAGCTGCATCAAGGCTTTGATGTGAGGAGTGGGAGGCCTTTTGCCCTGGAATTGCTCAGTGCCAGATGTTATGTGCAAGGCCAAAATTTGGCCCCCTCCCTGCCTTTTGCCTCCCATTCTGCTCAATTCACTACGTCATAGTTGCGAAGCCCCAGGCTCGGATGAAGGGTAGCATATAAATTTAACATACAAACAAATTAAAAATTTGCAAGCCAATTTAAAGGTGTGGGCCATCTAATGTCAGGCCATTTGGCGCTTGAGCAGTAAAATAATAATAATAATAATAATAATAATAATAATAATAATAAAAATACCCCGCCCATCTGGCTGGGTTTCCCCAGCCACTCTGGGCGGCTTCCAACCGAATATTAAAAACAATACAGCATCAGACATTAAAAACTTCCCTAAACAGGGCTGCCTTCAAAATTGTTTATTTCCTTGACATCTGATGGGAGGGCGTTCCACAGGGCAGGTGCCGCTACTGAGAAGGCCCTCTGCCTGGTTCCCTGTAACTTGGCTTCTCACAGCGAGGGAACCGCCAGAAGGCCCTCGGCGCTGGATCTCAGTGTCCGGGCTGAATGATGGGGGTGGAGACGCTTCTTCAGGTATACTGGGCCAAGGCCATTTAGGACTTTAAAGGTCAGCACCAACACTTTGAATTGTGCTCAGAAACGTAATGGGAGCCAATGTAGGTCTTTCAGGACCGGTGTTATATGGTCTCGGTGGCCGCTCCTAGTCACCAGTCTAGCTGCCGCATTCTGGATTAATTTCAGTTTCCAAGTCACCTTCAAAGGTAGCCCCACGTAGAGTGCATTGCAGTAGTCCAAGTGGGAGATAACTAGAGCATGCACCACTCTGGCAAGACAGTCTGCGGGCAGGTAGGGTCTCAGCCTGCGTACCAGATGGAGCCGATAAACAGCTGCCCTGGACACAGAATTAACCTGTGCCTCCATGGACAGCTGTGAGTCCAAAATGACTCCCAGGCTGCGCATCTGCTCCTTCAGGGGCACAGTTATCCCATTCAGGATCAGGGAGTCCTCCACACCAGCCCGCCCCGTCCCCCAAAAATAGTACTTCTGTCTTGTCAGGATTCAACCTCAATCAGTTAGCTGCCAACCATCCTCCAACTGCCTCCAGACACTCACACAGGACCTTCACTGCCTTCACCGGTTCTGATTTAAAGGAGAGGTAGAGCTGGGTATTAGTAGGGCAGATACAGATCTGGTCCTCTGGGTAGGAGGTTCCACACCCCCCACTTTATGACAACCATATCTGGTGCCTTTCAGACATTTTGGACTACAACTCCCATCAGCCCCAGCCAGCACAGCTTTGCCGGGAGTCATGGGAGTTGTAGTCCAAAGCACCCAGAAGGGCACCAGATGGGGGGGGGGA